ATTATTTCTTTTAAAATTATTAGAAAAAATAATGTTGAACAAAATCTTCTTTTCTAAGACTTTCACTGTGATTAATATTTTTCTTTATATAGATATATAACCGATAAGCACATCATTAGATTAATTTATTTTGCATTATGTCAATCTCAAATAACGCATTGTATTATTAACTGAGGGGGTACTTCAAAATCTACACTCTTAAAACTCGAAAGAGCTCAGAGATCTCTACTTAGGTTACTTTCTGTCTAGATTTTCAAGATCCCACCGATGATCTTTATAAGCGATATAATGTATTGACATTCCGACAACTCTTGATTATAAACACAGTTCTTATAAACACTGCCTGATAGTGTAAGTACAATCCACCTCTCTTAGCTACTAGAAAACGAACTTACACTGTTTGTGAATGTACACAGACTAACACAAAATTTTCGCATATAGACTTAGCCATAGCTAGACTTCGATAGCATTTTCTTGAATAAGTGACTTTTGAGATAAGTATTATTTACCATTTTTTGAAGTTTGAAGTCGGGTCTATTTCTTTTTTAATTTTTTATTCGAGATAGAAATGTTTAACAGCAATATACCCTACGGAGCTGTGACCCCTAGTCGGGAAAGGATTTTTTTAATGACTTTAAGCCAAACCTATTAAACCATTAGTTAAAAAACTGGCTAAAGGTAAATGACCAATAAAAAAAATAATTTATTGCTCGTTTCCAAACAGGTAATCATAAAAGGTTAGAATTGTAAATTTATTGATACTACTCGTAGAATACTTATTAGCAATTTTGAAAAGTTAAATTATACTATACTAACTCCACATAGAATATTGGGCTATTTCCTTCCTTTTCCGCATTATCAAAACACCTTTGACATTAAAACAAGTCGTTAATAAATAATAATAATAATCCGAGACTTCAAAATATAATTTTTGAAAATATAATAATTTTTTTGTATACTTAGTCAAATAAAGTAATAAAGAAAGAAATAATCCAAATATAATCAAAGGTGTATTTTTGACACTGAGTTACAGGATCAGGATGATTCTTGGATGATGTCAACACCTCTGATATCACAGGTTGAAATTCATGGTAAGATCAATATATAAACCGGTAAGAGCGAGTCGGACTTGAGCGCAAAGAATTCCGAAAAAAAAATGCAACATCATACATAACCTGGAGGCATGAAATTTAATTATAAAACAAATCAGTTTCTCTTTGTGCATGCCTCCGACTGCATGGTGTGTATGATGTTGCATATTTTTTATCTTGTTCCACCTAATTGTTTTTCACACATGCAGTTTTGGTTTTCTTTTATTATAATTTTATTTGTGTCTATTTAGTTAGACAAATTATCATGTTGGTTCAGAAAGTGAAATAACAAAGTCCATATTTTTAAACATTCTTATTGTATTATTTTTATTGGTATTACGGTAATTAAAATCTTGATATACCTTTTTGGAATCCTTGTATTGAGCCCTTTATTTTTTTATCAGTAATTATAGGTAATGGCGTAATACAGCCGCTCAATTTATCTAAATCCGTTCAGCGGTTCTGAATACATGAGAAAATAAAGAATATTACATACATACATACAAGATACGCACAAAACACCTAACCCTGCCTTTGCATTCGGGTAAAAACCATAGTTTTCAAGTAGGTTTTATTTAATCTACTCGTAAAAGTATTTCTTTTTTAATATTTCACACCTTTGCTTTGCCGACGACATATTCATAATGGCTGAGATTTTGGAAGAACTCAATACGATACTCGAAAATCCCACTACTTAGTGCTTCTCAAAGAGTAAAAATCACATCAAATGCCCAATTGCCCATATTGTACCCACTCCATTAAAAAATAAGGGAAACTATATCTACTCGAAGTTGGTGACAGTTACGTATACCTTAGACACAGTCCAATTAGGTAAATTCAGCAACTTCCTTTTCTAAATTCTTCAACTCGTTAAATCCAGCTCGAATCGGCAGCATTTGGGAAGATTATTTTATTTTATATCAAAACTGATTTTTGTTTATATTTTTGTTATATAAATGAGATGAAATATATTACTCGTTAAACGGATTCAAACTGTACCAGTACGCGTAGTATGACAAACTCAAGAAACGCTTTGTCTATACCAAATATCACTTTACTCGGGTCGACAGTAATATATCGCATCGGCACACTCGATAAATGACATTTGGGTGTAGACAAAACGTTCTCCTGTATCTTATAAACCGTGAAAGTTAGTAGACAGTAGAAATTTTCACAGTGTTTCTATTGCCGCTTTAACAACAAATACTAAAAAAATTGGATCCCATACAAATACGTGTTTTTTATTGCTCGTTTTCGATTTTCGTACGCGAGTCCGGTATTTCTATAGAGCTAATTATTGAAATTTATATATCTGATTTTTGAGAATAATTGACCATATGTTTATTTTGCATAAAATTATTTTCATTTGGCAAATCTTAGCATAGCTTTAGAAAAATATTGGTTTGAAAAGTGATAATTTCATAGTATGTCGCCTTAAGCAACTTTAAAAAGCTGATCACAGGATGTGTGACCAAATACTTATAATATCTCGAGCTCCTTCGTTCTGAATCTGCAGTGACACTGAGCCCGCATGGTGAGTCATGGCATTCTCCCTTACCAACCTATAGAGAAGGCCTGTACCCCAGCAATGGGGACATTAGTAAGCTGATGATGATTATTTATTTGACATTATGGTCACTTACTGAGGTTGTGATACCTTTATACCATGAATCTTGATTGTTCTGTTCCCTGCACTGTAAGGGCTTATTCACAAGTAGTCGTACCCCACCAAAGGAAGAAAACGTTTAGACACTGATGGTTTACCACCGGCCAATTACTGGCGAGATGACCGCAAATTGAGGACCCAATGTTCAATTGTGCTTCCCACTTGAATTAAATTGGGATTTTAAATCTAATATTATCCTAAATAGAAATAGGATGATATTCTGCTGATCCTGTTGACATAATACATAATTTATAGTATTTTATTTTTTTATAGTTTTTTCTATAACTATAACCATACTTCATTGTGGCTGTTCACAATGAAGTATGGTCAAACTAATTAGCTGATGTTTTTATTAATTAATTAACATGTTCGGAAAATTGGAAAGCTTGGAGTAAAGCGCCTTTTCTATTAGTTTTATTGATTATATTATATTTTAATATCCAAATTACTTTTGATACAAATGTAATTATTGAGCATGATAAATGCTTTAGTTTTTTTTTGGTTACGACTGCGCCACTCTATTGTAGCGATTACTCGTGCATCGCGTGCCTTCCTCTTCCGCTATGTCCGGAGACAATACGTGTTACGTAGCATTTGCTCAACCGACAACGTGTTAAATGCATATAATTCAATAAAAATCGAGCGATTAATATTAGTAAATCCACACAAAAGTTCCGCGTAATAATGGAAAGTCGATCGCTCTTCAACTACAACCCTTGATGACACAGTTCTTGCTAATTGATCATAAAATAATAAATATATCTGTCACCATTGACTTGCACTAATAATATTGGACTTCTCTGGTTGATAGCACAAAGGCAAAATGCAAGTAGTTGAGACTATTGAAATGCAATTATTACGTAAAATTTAGTCGAATTGAGGCCCTTGAGTTCTTCGAAACAGTAACGATAACTCTTTCTATATTGACAATAAATGAGAAGGATGGTTCTAGAGGTTCTCAGAGGATTGCTTTTCTACGTTTAATTATAGTTTGGTAGATATAAATTATTAGTACCAAGGACTATTATTCAATTCTCTAATAACTTAATGATTATATTTGAATAAAAATAGTTCCCGAAATCAAACTAGATGTCGCTACGGTACGTTCTTGATTTCTCCATGACAACCCTTCCGGTTTTCTTTCATGTTTAAAAGTAAATTAGTTTTCCAAACTCAATAAACAACTCTTATTCTTGTACTTTTTCTGTACTTATTTGTATTGATACCTATCTAAGTTTCGAACTTTCAAATTTCAGTTTTTTAATATGTTAGTTAAAAGGAACGGAAATGACTGTCTTTAGTCCATTCGTATCTAACGAAAATCCCGTTAAACCTATGTAGTGTACATACATATAAATTAATGTATCATCGGAATGTTTTGAAAGCGAGGTGATACGACAAAAGGGGCTTTTTTGGCGGTGAACGCGCAAACCTGTGTCTTAATAGGGTTGAAGTGGACCAAATTAAGGCGACCCCAGTTAGAGACTTCCCCTAACGAAGATTCAATATCAGACACAAGTTGATTCCGGCTCTCAATGACGCTTTCCCAAGAAATATTAGCACGACTGTTATAGGTGGAGTCCTTCGTGCTGTCATCCGCATAACAATGAATACCGCTAATTTGCAGCATGTCATTAATATGCAGAAGAAAAAGTGTGGGTGATAGCACGCATTCTTGGGGAACACCAGCATTTACAGACAGTAGGTCCGAGCATTCAACGTCGATTAAAACCTTAATGGTTCTGTCTGCCAAAAAACTAGTGACCCATGCACATAATTTCTCGGAAAGCCCATACGAGGGAAGTTTTGACAGAAGAGCTTTGTGCCATACCCGATCGAAGGCTTTCGCTATGTCTAAACTTACTGCCAGGGCCTCCCCCTTTTGTTCAATTGCCTTAGCCCATTTATGTGTCAAATAAACTAGAAGATCGCCAGCAAAGCGACCACTAATCCTTCCTTATTAAATCCTTATTGTTGGTCACTAAGCAACTGGCGATCCTCTAGGTACCGAAGGAGCTGGCGGTTGATAATGGACTCCATTATGAATTGTGTAAACGCAAAAAGGGCCTTGAATTAAAAAAGAAGAAAAAGAAATTGAGTATATACTTTACTCTTTGACTTCCACCGACGCCGTTACCATGGCAACTGCGTAAACAACGCCCTACTACAGTTTTTTACAATATTTTGTTTCCATTCTAATTTGCTGTATTTTAACAGTTTTTATAGTATATAAATAAACCAAGATGGACCCTGATGACGACGGAGAACCCTTCGGGGGAGCCTTAAACATAGGCTCGGAGACGACGGAGGCTGAGAAAGAATTTGAGAAGGTAACTTTTATATTTAAAAATAAAAAACCATCAATGCACATTACTTTTTACTAAATTAAACAAGTAGATACTTTATAGTTAGGTACATTTTCCCTTATTAGTTATTTTGAAAAGCAAACATACTTGGGTAATAAACAAAAAGGAATAAAGTTTTACTTTTAAGGTTTCGCGCCTCAACAGGAAAATGATTACTCGTCTCTCCGTCTGTCACAACATAGCCACAGCTGATTACCTCTGAAACTACTGAAATGATCAAGTTGAAATTTCGTACATAGGGTTATTCTGGGAATTATTTTTTTAAATCGTAAGATAGTGTGATAGTGTTTAAAAAATCACCATATAAAAAGCACGTTTGTTGTATGGGAACCCCCCTTAAATATTATTTTTATTGTTTTAAGTATTTTTTGCTATGGCGTCAACAGAAAAACATCATCTGTGAAGATTTCAACTATCTAGTGGTTCATGAGATGAAACCTGATGACAGACTAGCGGACAGCGGAATCTTAGCAATAGGGTCCCGTTTATATCCTTCGAATACCTACAGAACCCTTAAAAGGAATATAGTTCTTTACGTATAGTTTATAGGAAAACCTATTAGAAGTTTATAGTTTTTACAATAGAATACTTGACCTAAATACTTAATTCTTGCGTGGGGGCCCTTTGCGCGTAAGTCGACTCCGCGTCAGTTTTCTATAATTTACTTTGGGTGGGGGGGTAGGTATAGTAATATATCACTTGTATTTATTTTTTCCTCGACGCGCGATTATTAAACCGAAAAGCGACGGCAAAATTTTTTTTTGTTTTTTTTTAATATACGTGATTTGGTTGAAGGAGGGAGGGGGTAGTCTTAAATCTCACCATGTATCACCAAGGGGGAGGGGGTGGTGAAAAAATGTTGAAAAAAACATCACGTGATTAATCGACGGCCCCTTTGTTAGACGATACTGCTAGTCAAGGGTATCAAATGTCTCCTAAATTTTAAACCTTAATTTGTTTTTAATAAAACTCAAAATCGGCAATAGCGATGCATGATCAAAATTAAAAGTGGGCAGGACGAAGACTTTTCATCCGGGCAGGTTATATTTTGTGTTGCTCTCCAATGGCACACAGAGACCTTTTCGAAAAAGCCAGATTTTCTATTAAAAAAAAATATATATATATCACAAATATTTAAGAAAATTATTAATTTATATGATTGAATTTTTATTAGAATAAAAAACCACTTATTTGGGTTTTCTTAAATTTTGTGAATAATTACGTCTTTGTGACAGGTCCTTTGCACCGCGACGCCTTACACTGTATCTTCACATCAGAATAATATATTGTCTCGCTATCATTGTTAATTTAATTAGTAGGTAATTATCTTTTCAAAAATAATCTTTGAAAGGTACTAGACGATATGCGGGAAGCGGAGGGACTGAAGTTGTACTCCGATGTATATACGAAACTATACGACTCCTACTACAAGATGAAAGAAGAAAACACAAAGAACTTGGATCATGTCGCCAGCCTCACGGTAAGACAATCTGAAATACTTTTTTTACGTTATGCATTATCACATTCAATTAATTTCTTTTTTAGAAACTTCCATAACCTGCAACCATATGACCAGAATCATAATAAAAAATTTATAAACTATTATTTTCATAACTTCGTTTCTGCCCGCCATGAGTTTTCCCTCATAGAATTTGCCTATTGACCTTTAGTTTTGCAAAATGTATATTTAATCTTAAACTTGAAATGTATTAAATTGAATGAATATAAGGTATAAGCTTCTTTTATTCGTATATTTTGAAATAATATAATTTTATTGACTTTTTTCCTAAAAGTCGTCAAAAATTAGAAAGATTAGATCGTGATTAAAACTCCGTCAAGTCTGTAGCAAAACCCTGGGATTTAAATCAGAGACTCAAAGTCTATAGGAACTATTAATGACTATCTTCAAAGTGTATAACGATTGCATTCAACAGTTTTTTCATCTTATTAGGTAGTTTTTCTAAGAGAAAATTGCCTTAATTTTTTTATTCTGTATAATGTAAAATTCAATAAAATTTTATTCTTTTCCTGGTAATCGGTGATTGTATTTCGCTATTAAATACTTAAGTACTAATAAAATATATCTTAATTATATTATTATTAACTCGTTGCACCAGACGTCAGATTAAATATAAGGACGGCAATCAGTGTATTTGCCTTGAAAATGAAAACTCCCCTAGATATCTTCCGCGGTAAGTTAGCTTACAATTATAACGTTAATTGTAATCTATATTTATGAAAATTTGATCATATCGATCTATTTAAATCTTGATAAAGCTCTTTGAACCTTGACTTGGGCTTATAACAATAACTTTACCTTTGTATCTGTTTCCTCATTCAGACTCGCCAACATGGCGAGGACAAAGATTGTTATAATTGTATTTAAATAAAAAGAAATTATTGCCTAATTATATCACGATTTAACCGTCACCGTCATGTAAATATTTGCCTTCCAGCACAAGCTGCTAGGTTTTTATGCAGGTATAGTTAAAGCCTGTCAATGGCCCTGGCCTAAGTCAAGTCTGTGGGCAAGCCCGCAACTGTGCAAAGCGTCAAAAATGGGGGGCTTAAAATTTAAGCATTAAGTATATGTTGTTTTGTATTTTCAATTAAAGTCGTAAAAGTAAGAAAGGATTTTATTTAGAATTTGAGATTATGAAATCACGCAATTTACAACACATTACTTTCAAGTAAGTTAAACACAAGAGAATCATAAACTAAAACATTCAAAAACATAGACTATACAATATTGAACCATAGACTATAAATCACCTTCCTCTCTAGACAAATATATATACGAGTACTAAACTATCTATAGGTATTATAACCGTATTTAAAGATCTAAAATATTTCTAGATTTAATTATTCTACCAATTCTTGTGGTTACATAAGATCGAGTTACCTCTGTATTATTATTGTCTGCTGGTTCGTCATTAACACATGAATAAGTTACTTCTATATTCTCCTTGTCTAATGGCTCGATATCAAAGTCCTCTTCAATCGAGTGGTTCTGATTGCTAACATAATTCCTATTAGAAAATGATTTTTTTAAATGTTTAACATTTCGCCTTATCCTTTTATTTCCCTTTGTATCTATCCAAAATGACCTTGGTTCCTTAGCTTTGGCTATAATTTTCCCTTTTTCCCAACATTTATCTTTTTCAGTTTTGTGAACAATTTCGTCACCAACATTAAATCAACTTCTTTTTTTCTTTTAAAACCTAAGTCCTTGTTAACTGATTGTCTCAACATTAACATATTATACACATTATTTTCAATTTTGGGTTGTAATAATACATCATTAGTAGGAATAAGGGTTCTTACCCTTCTACTATTTAGAATTTGTGATGGTGAAATTTCTAGTCCTGTAAGTGGAGTATTATTATAACTAAGCAAATAATCTCTATAGTCCACATTATCCTCATGAGCTTTCTTTAATATATTTTTGCTTATGTGTACTGCCTTCTCAGCCATTCCATTGCTTCTGGGATAATGAGGGCTACTAGAAATAAACACAATATCTTTACATTTATAATATTCATGGCAATTAAAAAAATTGAAAGGATTGTTATCAGCTATTATTTCTTCTGGATAACCAAATCTAGTGAAACATTCTTGAAAAGCATTAATAACAGATTGAGATGTTTTATCATTTAAAGGTAAAATTTCTAACCAATGCGAAAAATAGTCAATAATTACTAGAAAATATTTTCCATGAAAATCCAAAATATCAGTTCCAATCTTTGCATATCTACGATTAGGTATCTTATGTGGTAGCAAGCTGTCATGTGAATTTGCTATTCTAAATTTTTCACAAGTACGATTCTGAAACAAATTTGTTTATGTCCTTTGACATTCCAGGCCAGTAAAACAATTGCCTAGCTCTACTGATTGATTTGCATATTCCATGATGGCCTTCATGTACTAATTTCATCACATAATACCTTAGGGATTTAGGTACAATTATTCTGTTTTCTAAAAATACTAGTCCACATTCAACATAAATATCATTTTTCAATTTAAAATACTCTCTACACTCTTTATCTACTTTATTCTTCTTTGGCCAACCATTAATATAATATTTGTGCAATAAACTTAAGACAGAATCACATGCAGTTTCTTTAATGAACTTTGATTTTCTTTCCATGGACATTGGCAGGTGAACTGTAGCAGAGTGCACTACTTGTGACATTTCTTTATCAGACTCTGTATATTTTAAACTATTCCTAGATAACATATCAGCAAAATGCAATAATCTGCCTGGCACATAATACACATTTAAATTATACATCAATAATTTTAGTCTAAGACGTTTCAAACGAGGAGATCCAATTTTACATATAGGTTTTAACATTAATGACACAATTGGTTTGTGATCAGTTTGAACATCAATATGGGACCCATAAATGAATCTATGAAATTTCTTAACAGCATAACAAATAGAAAGCATATCTTTCTCTGTCTGACTGTAATTAAGCTCAGTGTCGTTCATAGTTCTTGAAGCACATGTAACCAACTTTAAAATATTTTTATCATCTTTTTGAAATAAGCAACACCCTATGCCATTTTTAGATGTATCACATTGTAAAATAATATTTTTCTTAGAATCAAATGGAGCTAGAGCTGGGGTTGTACATACTTTCTTTTTAACTCAGCAAACGCTAACCTATGAGCAGGTAACCAAGTCAATTCTGAATCTTTCTTTAACAGCTTACAAAGAGATGACATTAGATTTGCCATATCTGGTATATATCTACGCACATAATTAAATGATCCTAATATTTGGCGTAACTCGTCTTTATTAGTAGGCTTTTTTAAACTTAATAGTGACTCAACTCTTTCTTTATCTAGTGACATTCCTTGCTCATTAAAAACTTGACCTACATAGCGGACTTCAGACTGCTTATATTGAAATTTATTTTGATTGAATACTATTTCTAACTTTTCTGCTTTTTTAATTACCTTCACCATTGCCAAATCATGTTCCTCTTCGTTACTGCCCTGAATTAAAATGTCATCAGCCCATATTATCACATTTGGTATGTCCCTGAAATGATTTTCAAGCGTATCCTGGAATAATTCAGGAGCATTCATAAGACCATAAGGTAAGACACAATATCTATAAACTCCAAAGGGAGTAAGTAGCAAAGCAACACTTCCATGACGCGTCTTCTGTGAGTAACAAATGATGAAAGCCCTCAGACAAATCTAGCACAGAAAATATTTTTTTGCCTTTTAATTTAAAACTTCCAGTGTTGGCAAAATTTTTGGCTTTTTTATTATTATTTTATTTAGATCTGATGGATCCAGGCACAATCTAATATTTCCATTCTGTTTTTCTACCAGAACTACTCTATTAACACAAGCATTTTCATTAATCTTATCAACTTTTATTATTGCTTTTCTATTTTCTAACCTTTTGAGCTCAGTTTTTAATGGTTCAAGTAAACAAGAAGGCAATCTCGGCGAAGGATGACAGATCTGTTCGTTTGTGTGTCTAGTAGGGATTTCTACACTCCCTGGCATTCTACCTATACCTTCAAATACTTTCCTATGACTCTCAATAAACTTTGATTTTTCTTTGTCTACTACCATAGAATGCACACGTTTAATTAAGTTTAGTGATACACATGCAGATAACCCTAATAACATTGTGTTACAATCTACAACAATGAAATTTTCATACCATTCATTATCTTTAAACTTACACTTAAGATTTACAATGCCTAAAGGTTTTACTTTCTCACCCACAAAAGACTCAACTTTTAAATTTGTACTAAAAATCTTACATTTTGTTCTTTTATAATTTTTTTTATATATTATCTTAGGCATAATACTTGCTTCGGCACCAGTATATAACTTACACTTAATATTTTGACCTTCAATCATAATAGTCTCTATCCACTCACTTGTATTTGAAGCTGGCATACACACTGAACCACAATATAAGGATTCATCAGAACCATGTCTTGAGCTTGATTCTGTACACTCCACTTTATTGACCTTCTTAACTCTGCAGCTTACAGCAAAATGGTTCAATATGCCGCATTTGACACACTTTTTCCCAAAGGCCGGACACTCCCTTGGACCATGTTTTTGTTGACACCGATGACAATTGAACTTTGTGTTATTCTGTTTAAACTTTTCCTTATACTTAGTGGATCGATTTGCATTCTCTTTTTTTATTACAGCTATTTCCAACGTTGGATTCATTTCTTTAACTTGCAAACGGCTAATCTCACTGGCCCGGCAAACATTTGCAACTTTATCAAGGGTTAACCCTTCCATTCGGAGTAAATTTTCTTGAAGTGATTTGTCGCATAATCCTTGTACCAGTCGGTCACGTAGTAATTGATCTTCTAATAGCTCAACTTTTGAAGAATAGTTACATGAAAATATTAGTTGCCGGAGAGCAGTATAAAATTCTTCAAATCTTTCACCCTCTTTTTGTCTTCTCTCATTGAATTTATATCTTTCAAACACTTCATTGCGTTTGGGGTTGACGTAGGTATCAATAGCTATAATTATTTTGTCATAGCATTCTAAGTCCTCCTTGCTAAGCTTAAAACTCAATAATACTTTAGTGGATTCTGGTCCTAACATTTTCCTTAGGAGGGACAATTTTACCTTTCCGCTTGCCGAGTCCTGGCCCGTAGCCACTAAATAATCTTCAAATAAACATTTCCAATATGCCCATTCCCTCGCTGCCGATGGTGACCTGACATCAAAGTTTGGGGGCAGCTTCACCACGCTCTCCATCGCTATTCTTTGTTATTATTCCAATATTCAAAACTAATAATAAATATTGCTCTCAATAAACGACTGCGCCATGTTTTGTATTTTCAATTAAAGTCGTAAAAGTAAGAAAGGATTTTATTTAGAATTTGAGATTATGAAATCACGCAATTTACAACACATTACTTTCAAGTAAGTTAAACACAAGAGAATCATAAACTAAAACATTCAAAAACATAGACTATACAATATTGAACCATAGACTATAAATCATATGTAATACGTCATTTCCGCACACACTATTTACTCACACGTGCAGCAAGCCCGCAACTGTTCAAAGCGTCAAAAATGGGGGACTTAAAATTTAGGCTTTAGGTATATGTAATACGTCATTTCCGGACACACCATTTACCCACACGTGTGATTAAGCCCCCTAGAACCTACGTCGATGCCCCTAGTCTCGATTATGCTAGTTAACCTAACAGTAGTACTTCGGTAGCATTTCAATTAACACCTTTTCCCACTGCATTATTGAGGCTGGTTTTAGTATCATGCTGACCGTCAGCGTTCTATAGTTACGTCGACCGCTCAGCGCTGACGAGCGTCGGCGCTGAGCGTGCGCAGCCGTACGTGTTGCACGCCGGCGCCACTTAGCGGTCGGCGCTGACTATCGCACGCGCGTCTGCCTTCAGCAGCGTCAGCGTGTAGTTATATGGAATGAACACAGGAGAAGCACGATCAATCAGCACGACACTGAAATGAGTATGCGCTGAGAGCTACGCGCGTAATCGTCAGCGTGGACGGTCCGCGTTACACTAAAAGCAGCCTTAATGCCAAATATTATTAGTATAATGGCATCTTGATAAGTCAATGATGACAAATTATTTTGTTATTTTATGATAAAAGCTGCCATTGAAACGCCGTTGATACGCTATAGTAAAATTAACGTTAGCAGAATTGAGTCACTGGACATCGTAATCCTTAGCAAGGGTACGTAGCGGTTTTTATTATGTATGTAGGCCAGTCGCACTTTGCCCTTGCCCCTCAGGGCAGGTCCTAGTGGTTGCAGTCCTAATTTGAGCGATTAACTGATGAGCTATAGATTAGTCTATGTTAACATAATTCTTACCAATATTAGATGTTTTTTTTTTTATAACTCCGTAATCTAACTTATTTTTTTTCAACAGACCAAGCTACAGAGATTCGATGATACAGTATCCAGTTACCAAACAGAAGTAACTGAGGCCAACAAGACTATTGAAAAATTAAGAGCTGATATCGGTAAGAAATAATAATCAGCAAACCTCCTTATCCCTTCGGTCAACGGTTGCGTTACCGTCTAGTCTAACAATATGTAATAGTAATCTAAGTAGTTTTATATAGGAAAAAATTATGAGTGCACAATTTTTTTCCTGTGTTCTTTTTTTACATTTTTTATTTGAAATTTTATAATAAAACATATTGAAAGTTATCCAACAACTGTCACAGTTCACAGTCAAGTCAAGTTTACAAGTCGACAATTCACAGAAATGCGCAAACAAAGTCTTATTAATTACTGAAAAAGTATATCGGTCACTTTTACGATAGGTACAAAAAGAAAAAATAACGTTAAATGAAAACTACTACTACATAAAAAAAAGTCAAATCGAGTAAAACCAATTCAATACAAGTTGTTTGTAGATAAATTGGAAGAAATTATACCAAGATGAGTACAATATGCAACTTTGTTTAACTAAATAAAATTGAACTTTTGTGGTATTTAACATTTATGGGATCATGGGTGTTTGAATAATTATGACACTGAATGTACCACATTTATCTGTGGTACCTTTAAATGAACTGTGTATGAAATTCAATGGTGAATCAACGGATATATAGCTTTTTCATTATATAAACAAATTAAGATTCTTAATTTGATGATCAGAGGAGGCACGAGCTCTAGCAGACGCAATGCACGCCCGCGAACTAGCCAGCGTGGAGAGTCTGGAGACCATGAAGAAAACAGTCACCAGACTCGAGAAGGAATTAGACGCCAGGAAACGCGCCGGTGACGATGACGCGTAAGTAATGCAGAGGCATAGAACCTAAATTGTAAGATTTTTAATAATGGAAAGTTCAGTTTACTGATAGATAGTATTAGTACTAATATATCTAGGAAATCGACCTATCCAAAAAATCAAGTAACATCTGTGTATCTGGTACATTTCACATTTGATTCCCACCAAATTCTCGGTTACTTTTATGTTATAAAGAATCAAATGCTACTTTTAGAACTTGGTAAGTATATTATAAATAAAATTTTGATTACATTTGTCAAATAATAACGCTAGTAAAACTCAAGGAAGACTATGAAACTGGTTTGACCTTTAGAAGTAGAAATATCTGAAAATGGTATCGAAAATATTAATTTACGTAATAAGTTTTAAAAAGGATATAAAATGTTTTGCTTAGAGGTGCAACATCAGCTGTAAAAGAGAAAGAAAAATTCGAAAAAGAAAAGGCTAGACTGCAGGGGGAACTGGACGGTATCAAGCTGCGGCTCAACAACGCCCTCAACTACGTCGAAGAATTAGAACAGCGCAATACGGTGGCTGACGAGACCATCGCCAAGCTTGAAGAGAGGTTAGAGGTAATGCCAAAAAAGTTTCAAGACGACCTTCCAATAACTATATATAAATAACAATAATTTTCTATTAAAGGACCGAAAAGGTAACATTATAAAAACGTAAGTTTCAAAAAAGAATAGATATTACACACTTCAACCTTGACGTCGACCAATTATGTATTAACCGATAATCGAATTTTCCAATTTAACTCATTAAATTTTTGCTACAAAATCAGTCGATTTAAAACTAAAGCGCAATCTTTAATTTTTCATTTGAATTTACAAGAATATAATTTAAATTTGGTTAAATAGTCGAATTCTTTAGATTGTGGATTGTGTAAACTGGTGCCTGAATGCAGAGGGTCTGTTTTTTCATAGCATCTGCTATCCAAAAATTTAACTTTTTATATATTAGCTATATAACTATATTTTTACTCTAGGAAGCAGATAACAATGCAGTACGACAAAATCGCTTGGTAGAACATCTGAAGGGCGAAAGCGATACTCTGAAAGCTGAGATGGAGAGCAGGGGAAACACAATCAACATTCTCAACGATAAGGTAATGTTACAAATAATTACACATTAAATGTTGCCCAAATAATATTTATTCATTTTAATTTTAAATTGATTTACAAGATACTTGGAACCCGCTCAATTAGATTGGGTCAAGAGTGAGCTCATTGTAAATAAAAAAAAATGTTTTATAGGTACCTTATTTAATAATTGCATGGCGTAATTATTTTCGCTTGCCCAAGCGTAATTAACCGGTCCTCAACATCATTTTATTTTTATTAAAGAAATTAAGAAACTTTATAAATTCGTGTTGTATCTTTTCTTACAAAAACACATTATTTGAATCCAATTACAAAACATGTTTATTATTCAAATACATATTGCATCCAGCTCAGCAAATCTGAAAAGACCATCGAACGTCGCGACAGACAGCTCAAAGAGTTAAACAATAAATTGGAGATCGCCAAAGCTGAAGAAGCAGCAGCCCTCGAAAAGGCAACAAACTTGCGGGAGACCCTTGATATGACAAATGCGAAATTCGAACAGACTAAACAAACGTTAATCAACACAACTAAAGAACTTAAGGTGAGAATTTTTATGATAGGCATCATCAAAATATAAAATTATATACTTTCAGATATAAGTATAACTTCAAATATTTGATGTATTTTTTTTTTGTATTTATGTAACATGAGACTGAATTTAAAACTATGTAGCTAGAAACTAATTTATCATTTTGTCGTAATTAATTGTACTTTGAGTAGCTCGGTGGCGTAGTGGATTAGCGCCCCGGCCCGTGATCGTAGTCGTTAAGCAACTTTCGCAAGGGTCGGTCACGGGATGGGTGACCAAAAAATTATTATCTCGAGCTACTCCGTGCTTCGGAAGGCAAGTTAAGCCGTTAGTCCCGGCTGCATTTGCAGTCGTTAATACCCTCCAATCCGCATTGGGCCAGCGTGGAGGGTCATGGCCCATCCTCCTTAACCATCCATAAGGAAGGCCTGAGCCCCTGCAGTGGGGACGTAAAAGGGCTGATGAATTGTACTTTTATGCCAAGTGTTTTATTAACATTGTTATTGTAGAATATGATAGATGATGGCAACCGGCTACGCAACGAAGTAAGCAAGCTAACCAAACAGGCGGTGCAACAAATGAAGAAATATACACTTCTAGAACAAAACAAATTCACCGTTGAGTCAGAACGGTAAGAACTCTTATAGATAGTCAAGTTATAATTTTGCCAGAATATGTATCTCATTGTTCTGGATATTATATAAATTAATTGGATTCTGAGAAGTGTTTAATTACATAACTAAAAAGGATATTCTGCCTAATTCTGCCTGTCTGTGATACAAAATACAAAGATCTCGTCAATTCAATGAAAATTTTTGCAGTATAAATACTAACATATTTTACCTGATCCTTAGTGAAAGACTTCGTCAGCAAGTAAGTGTCATGGAGAGAGAGATAATGTTAGGAAAGAAGCAAGCAGAAGCCGACAAAAGAGATATAGAAAACCTCAACAGGGAAAAAGAAATTCTCAACAAAAACATGCAGAAGATTCAGAGTACGTGATGTTAACATTTAATATTGAGAGAGCTATTGACTCAAAATTAAGTTTATATTTTATAGAATATTTCTCAATGTTTCAGATGAGGCTCTGGAAAACCTGCAAATGCTTCATCTGGCTGAGCAACGTCGCAAGCAGATGGAACATGAACTGGAGTTAAGTTCTGCACAGATCAACAAGCAGCGACTCATTATACGCCAACTAGAAAAGGATAAGGATAGGTATTCTTTATCTTTCATTATATTTTGATATTGTAAGGTAACTTCGTATCTCACATAAATTTTACAATAATACACTTAATAGCAACCTTTAGTTCCCAGTTCTACTTAAGACAAGGTACATATATTGTTTCTTCCTGTTCTGGCTTATTCCGTTTATCCACCCTGAAACAGTCACCCTAAGGTGGATACTCGGAAACGTGTGTTTATCTATCCACCCTGAACGGGATGGATAACGGGAATCCGCATCATAATTTTACTTCCGATTTTCTCCCCTGTGTGTGTGTGTGTGTGTGAGTGCCCAAGATACTTGTTACTTAACATTAAAAAAAAGAAATTATTTATTTTGTTTAATGAAAATGTCATTTTTATAAATACACGATAGAAGCTTTTGTGTAGTAGACAATTTTATTCCACTGTACTTGTGCTAAAAAATCGGAAGAACATTCAAAAGTGACTTAAATTTATCCACCCCCTTCAGGGTGTAACACGCGTTTCCGAGTATCCACCTTAGGGTGGCTGTTTCAGGGTGAATAAACTGAATAAGCCCCTGTTCTCATGCATAGCCGACCGTCATCATAATATTATCAGTGTAAGCAAATTGAATTTAAATTTCTTTGGCATTCTTTAGTTTCCATTTACCCCAAGCTATATAACCATTTTTTATATAAAGCGGTCTTTGTCGAAGTCCTTTTGTTATAAATTACTATTTTACATTTTGTGGCGAACCACTTTAATATTCAGCTTCATTATTAATCACTTTTTTATATTACAGAATGCTTGAAGAGACAATTGCGCTCAATGAAAAAATAGACGAAATATCCGGTACGTGATTATTAAATTGACATTTATTACCATAATTGCACAAATCAAATCTGAGTTGTGATCTCAAGCCCAAACTACCTACTGTATTTAAGACAACAGACTCGATGGAATCTATGTATGTGTATATACTCGTATATATAAACAATTTCTTAAATTTTATAAAATTTTTAATATAATATATTCATAATTATAAACAATTTTATTCATCATTAGGTAAAGCATTTAACGAATCACACATATACCTATAGGTATAGTATTACGGGTCTGAGAGTAGAATTTGATGACTAATGTGTTCAGTGGTCCAGCTTTTGTTAAATCTATTAATTCGTATTAAAAAAAAAGCACTGCATTTAATTCAATATTTGATACTTGTATTAAGTATGATGATAATAATAATCGATTAATAATTTCGTGCAGAGGAAGTGCGTCTTCGAACTGCCGACATCCTGGACTTGAACAAGGCGCTGCGAGAAGAGACGATCAAGAGTCGCAAACTTTCAGTGACCTTAGATGCCACTAGGGCTGAGAGAAACATGCTCCACAAGAACTATACCGAAGCACTAGACGAGATACAAGACTTGAAACAAAAACTTAAAGTAAAACCTTACAAATATTTCGAATTTAATAAATGTTTGTCAACTATCACCCACACGATAATAGATAATAATTACAGATGCTGGCGTACCAAATCGAACAATTGAAAGAGGACATCAGCGGCAAAGAAACAGGTCTCAAAACTTGTGAAGGCACACTTGCGAAGTGTAATAAGAAATGTGAACAACTCCGCGCCGAGATACAAGCGGGACAAGTGAAACTGTCTGAAGCTAGGGCAGATATCACTGCTCTGAGGCAAGAGGAGGCGAGACTAAACAGGATTATAGCGGTTTGGTCTTTTATTACAATTACAATATTCTATTTTTAGCCTGCAAGCCATATGAGCCCATCAAGATGCATCACTAATATATTATATCCTTTTTGAAAAAACTCAGTAAAAATCAGACAACTGCACGAATGGTTACTTTCGTTGGTCGTTGAGACGCAGATACTGTCTGCAGACACAGATATTCATAAGATTTATAGACAATTATGAAAGAAGATAACACATATAAATATTGTCATTAGCTTTTGCCCGCAACTTCGTCCGCGTGGTAAAGTTACTTTGAGCAGCATTTCTAACGAATATTTATTCGTTAGAAATGCTGCTCAAAGGCTGATCGGCTTAAAATTTACAAAGTTTCATACAAACTTTCATCCCCTATTTTATCCCCTTGGCCGTAGAATTGACCAAAATCCTTTCTTAGTGGATGCCTACGTCATAGTTGCTTTATGCATGCAAAGTCTTAGCACGATCGGTTTAAAATTGACAAAGTTTCATACTAACTGTCATCCCCTATTTTATCCTCTTGGGGTAAAATTTCATAAAAGTCCTTTCTTAGCGGATGTCTACGTCATAACATCTACCTGCACGCCAAATTTCAGTCCGATCCATCCAGTGATTTAGGCTATGCGTTGATAGATCACTATGTCAGTCAGTCACCTTTGAGTTATATATATTTAGAATTGGTGGCAAAAAAATATTATCTCGGGCTACTCCGTACTTCGGGAGGTACGTTAAGCCATTGGTCTCGGCTACATTTGCTGATGATGATGAACACATATTGCATCAACTCTAACTATCAAACAAATTTAAATATCGTTTCAGCATTCATCATTAATAGGCTTTTATTTAATTACATGCTCTGGTTCACTGGAAGACGATGCCTAATGGCATTAAGTACAAATGGAGGACTTAATGCCTTTAGGCATTGTCTCCCAGTGAACCAAAGAACCAGGCACAGATAATTGTGTCTTTACAGCACAAGATAATGTTATTTCAAACTTACATGACCTGTCATCGATGTTCAGGAAGGAGATGCGACTCGTGCGAAACTAATGAAGGAACTGGAAGGTCTAATGAACGAACGGGACGTGGTCGGCGCCCAGCTTGTCAGACGGAACGATGAGATTTCGCTGCTCTACGAGAAAATCAGAATCTTAGAGGTCACGCTGCATAGAGGTTTGCCAACATGTTTTTTATAAAATACTCGTATCTATCGAAATTAATAAAATAAAAACTCAATAAATACAGACAGAATTTTCGATCAAGTTTGATGCTTATTTCGATTTACAATATATGTCAGGTTTCACTGATAAATATCAATGGATATACATATATCTTAATATATATCTCGACTGATATATACGTTGATATACATATATCAATTGATATTTATTATTTATATAGATATTTATTGTTAGTTTAAGTATTGGCCATTGAGTGTCTGCTAGAAAATTAACTAATCCGTTAATGCTGGCAACATTGGCCCGATGTACCAATCATACTTACTAGAAATTTCGGATCTTCCCCAATACGTGACTGGAAATCCTCGCACGCATACACTTTTTAATAATATTATAATAAACAAACAAATATTAAATGACTTAAACTCAATCTTTATTTTACACTTTTGATTTAAAAGATCAACTATTAACCCAAACTCTGATAATGGTAGAAAAGCAATAATAATATTAGTGAACGTTAATAGATGGGTATAAACCATATTTATATAGTAGAATTTGAAAATTAGCCTAATAGCACTTTACACGTAAAAGTCCCGTATACACAAAACCTGTCCAAATCAATACTTATCGGAATATCCCTAAATGAGTGGTGATACTGGCAGGAGAGCGCCAGTATGAACAGAGAGTGGAGGACATACGTTTGTTACGATTGGAGATCATAAGACTGCGCAAAGAGAAGAACCTACTGTCCAAGGGCATTGAAAACATGACAGACCTACGACTCGAGGTAAGCATTTTAAAACTTTACTTAACTACTACTTTATTTACACGTGTATTTGTGTTTTGTTTGGCGGCATTCTTTTATTTTTGTTTTTTTTCTTCTGTTTGTCCTATTTACGTCATAATATACAAAATGGAAAATTTGAAATATTGTGTTATTTACGAGTACGAGTTCCACCGTGGTACCCGTGCTGCGGAAACGGCTCGAAGGGTTAATGATGTGTATAGCGGTTGTGTCGCAAAAGAAAACACAGTGCGTTTTTGGTTTCAACGCTTTTTGGTTCTGAAAATTTCGACCTGCAGAACAAGCCCCGTGGAAGGCCGGAGACCCAAGTTAATAATGAAGAATTGAAGGCCATTGTGGAAGCGGATCCATCGCAAACCACGCCCGAGTTAGCTGCATGCTGCGGTGTTAGTGATAAAACTGTTTTAATCCACTTAAAACAAATTGGAAAGATTAAAAAGCTTGAAAGGTGGGTACTCTCGAATTCAGTGAAGCAAACCGGCAAATGAGCTTCGACTGCTGCGTTACATTACTTAACCGGCACAATAACGAAGGGTTATTAAATCGAATCATTAAGTGTGATGAAAAGTGGATTCTCTACGATAATCGGAAGCGCTCATCGCGATGGTTGGACCCTGGCATGCCAGCCAAATCCTGCCCCAAGCGAAATTTACCCCAAAAAAGTTACTTGTAAGCATTTGGTGGACTAGCGCGGGTATTATTTCATTACAGTTTTCTCAAATCTGGCCAAACGTCTAATTTCAGCAATTGCAAATCGTGCTGGAAAGACTAGCACGCCACTGCTACTTCACGACAACACTAGACCACACACTGAACAACAGACGGCTACCAAATTAGAATAGCTTCAATTGGAATGTCTAAGACATCCATCGTTCTCCCCGGACCTTGCTCCAATAGATTACCATTTTTTCGAAATTTGGATAACTTCTTGCAAGGGAAAAAATTCAACACCGATAGAGCAGTGCAAATAGCCTTCAAAGATTTTATTGATTTCCGTCTGAATGATTTTTTAGTAAGGGGATCAATGAACTACCTATGAGATGGCAAAAGTGCATAGATAACAATGTTTTATACTTTGCTTAAATAAATATATTATACCTATTAAAAAATATTCGGCTTTTTGTTCCTCCCATACCAAACACCAATTTCATATGGACCTAATATTAATCGATAGAAGGTAAATAAACCTAATATATGATCTATTTATATAATTTTTTGGCGCCGCCAAATTGTTTATTTACTGATATGAATTTGGTGAATATTTTATAATTTATTTTATGTTTTTAATTTATGTGTCTTATACTTTTTGGGTACACAATAGGGGTGACGACAAATTTTTGTTTGTTTATTTCTTATTTTTTTTGCGTAATTAATAAATTACTTATTTTCATTGAGTTGAAATTTCGCAAGACGTTCCATCCTCAGGGAAGGCCTGAGCCCCAGCAGTGGGGACATCAAAAGTTGGTGATGATGATGATCTGATCGATGGACTAAAAAGAATTTCTTTTTTTACCCTGTCGTCTTCCCTATTATTGAAGATTTTGTTTTCTTTTTATTTTCCTTGTGTAGTAAATTGACTAAAATTGCAAAGTTTAGTTTACAAAATATTATCTCAAGTGATAGTCTTAAAAATATCATATGTTTTGTTACGTTAGGTGTTCAACCTGGAGCGTGAGTTGGGTCGCGAACGATTGAGAGTTCGAGCGTTGGAGGAGGCTCTAGAGACACCCCTCAACGTACACCGTTGGCGCAAGCTACAGGGTACCGATCCAGAGAGCGTACAGCTCACACAGAAGTTAAGGCTCACGCAGAAGTAAGAAGTATCGGCAACAAATTATTCTACTTGAATTTAGAACTTAATAAATTAAGAGAAGAGTTCAAAATCAATTGAGGAATTTTAAATTGTACTAGAGAACTATGACAACCACCGTAGTAGAGTGACTCGCAATAAAACTCATCGGTTTCAAATAGTGCACTTTTAGGGACGCGGAATTCAATTCCGGAACAGTCAAATATTGAAATAGATTTTTTGCCATTTTTAGGTTTTAGGATTGGATAAATTTAATAATTTTTAATCAAGTGACTCTTGGATGACGGATTTTGTATCAAAAGAATTTAATTATATTAAGTGAAGCGTATTATTAAAAATAAATAAAGTGTTGCATTTTTATACCTATTCATAATTTTATTATTCATTATAAAGAAAATAGAATTAATTAGTTTTCATCTAATCTTCAGCCGTTCAATGTCGTGCATGTCACAAATAATATTTTTTTCCTTGACTGCTGCTAAATAATTTGCTCTAAACATCTTTAAAAGTGCAAGCCAGTCTTAGTTGCGTGATTGCCAAGACTCGTGCCTCGCAAAAGTAATTAGATCACTAAACTTAGGCTAATCACAAACATGTGAGATACTTACCAGTATTGCCTCAAGCACGATTTAAACATTCATATTTGTCTTCGTTTAATTAATACCATCACCCCTTTATTATTATATTGGTACTAAAACCAAAAGTCATATATTGTGAGGACCCCTTGGTTGTGTCGGCCTGGCAAGCAATACCACCCCCTATTGCTTGCCAGGTAATAGGGACATGGCATGGAGTAGAATGAATGAAATATGCTTTATTGTACACCAATACAGGACAAAACAATCGAATACAATTAAATTTAATGCACAATTGGCGGCCTTATTACTAAAAAGTAATTTCTTCCAGGCAACCTTTGCGTACAGGAAAAAAAAAAACTGAATCTAAATTTGGGTAGCTTATGGTGTCTCAAAACTTTAGTAGAGAAAAAATATATATATATACATATATTTAATAAATGAATTAAGTAATAAATACCACAAAAACAATAAATCATACATACATATAATATACATACATATAGCATATACCTACATAGATAAAGGAGATTAAGGATTCAAGGTGAGTGATAGATAGTACTCTTTAACCAGTCTTTTAAAAACGTGTATGCTTTGTGCGCGTCTGATAACCTCTGGCAATGCATTCCAAAGACAGGCCGCTTGGACTGAAAATGATTTATTCATGAATTTACTTGCATGCATTGGTATTGATAACTTCAAATTCTCCGATGACCTCAAAACTCTAACGTGCGTGTTGTGAAGGAATTTAAAACGTTCCGAAAGATAAACCGGTGAATAAGGATTGAACAGAATACTGTAAAGAAGGGAAACAATATGTGCATTCCGGCGAAGACGAATTGGCAGCCACTTGAGCTTAGCACGGAAATCGGAAACATGATCATATTTGCGTAAACCAAATATAAATCTAATACAAACATTTTGAAGTCTCTCAAGTTTATTTAACTGCTCTTCGGTAAGGTCTAGATAGCTGACATCGGCATAATCTAAGATTGGGAGGAGTACAGACTGTGCCAGCGCAATTTAAGTGGCCAATGGAAGAAAATTTCTAAGTCTTTTTAAGGAACCTGCTGCAGCAAACAACTTACGACTCAATTCTTCCATTTGAAATCCCCAAGTAAGATTTGTATCAATCAATATCCCCAAATTTTTAACACTCTCACAAAGAGTAATCTGAACACCGTCGAATATGATGGCTGGTAGCTGTGCATAATTAATCTTATTGGTCAATGTGGAGTTGCCAACTATAATAGCTTTTGTCTTAAGAGGATTCACTTTCAATCCATATGATTTACTCCAACCACAAATCAAATTTAAATCATCGTTAATAATACTAATGGCTTGAGCGGTTTGATCAAGACGGGTTTGCACATATATTTGCAAATCATCTGCATAGAGGTGGTAAGATGAAATTAACTGATAGGAAATTGAATTAATAAATATAGCGAAAAGTAATGGAGAAAGAACGCCACCCTGAGGCACCCCAGCAGAAACATCACACCAAGTAGACATGACCTGAATAATTTTATCGACGTTAAAAAGAGACCCCCCCCCCCCCTTGTGTGTAGGCGTCTATCTATAGGAATGTAAAGCACATCAGTTTATGCATAAGTTATTTTAAATGATTTTAAAAACCTTAAACAAATCTTCGTTTTCATCATTAAGTTCTATATTGTCGGTGTCAAATTGTAAACATCGTCAGGCTATAATGTTTCATTAAATAAAGATACTTCTATTATATGATTGACAGTCAACAACTTGCTTAGACTCATGCATTTTATAACACACTTGTTGTTTTAACGCGACTTCGCCTGCGTATATGAGAGAATATGTCACCCGCGTATGATGTAGCTGTAGATGAACGAATTTTCATGATTGGATCAGTATTTCCGAACATTACCTCCTACGAACAAAGAAAATTAGAAACTTTACATTTATAATATTGGTATATATTCCAGATATAAATAGACGAGTGTCACCTTACACAAAGAATTCATTTTTATGCAAAGAGAAGAGTAATCTCAACGAAGAGTATGGTGTTTGATGTTGTTTTAAAAAAATAATAATTACAAAAAAGTATTCATGCTGTTTGTAGCCAGCCTACATACCATCTGCATTATAGCACACAAACAAATCAGCGAAAACTGACCGCCAAACAAAATTATCAGACGATCCATGATCGGTTACCAATTACTGTCAGAAACTAGATTACATCAGAAATTAAATCGATAATTAAGAATAACGCGCTGAGAAAAACTATTTTACAATAATAACACTGTAAAATTCTCGAGTTATGTATTGCATTTGTAAACTATAATAACTATAAAATAACTCCCTTAACATAATAACTACTCAGTATAATCAAATTTTCATAAGCCCTTGTTTTTAAAGATGATTTTCACGATGATACGAGCACAAAGGACATTCTATCTCTTATAAGCTACGCTAACTTAGTATCTTATATGCACAAAGTTCATAAAAATCGACCTCACCGAGGGTTTTGTACTAATTTTATCTGTAATCTAACCTCATAGCTACTAATTCTACATTTATTAAACGCTAATCAACCTACAACAAACAGTGAAATACAGTAGGTACAATGGGTTTGAACTCCAGTAAAATTCCTGAATAGCGCAGTTTCTTTTGGCTCAAATCGTGCTCTTAAAAAGTATATAAATTTTCATTGACTATTAATTTTCACATCTAGATTTAACAGATGGTTGTGTAAACAAATTCTTTTAATTCAGAAATTAAACATTATTTTTTGTAATTAAAAGTAATTAATCGCCACGACTCTTTTCTCAGAATACAATTAAATTCTTGCTATCTCAGAGATGACATAAGACGTAAGTTAATTGTAGAATAGAACCGACGGACAGACAAACACGCGAGTAATCATGCAAAGGTTATCTCCTGACCTAACCTGAAAATGAGTAATGAATATCAATTATCCATACAGAAAGGTCCTGGCGCAGAGTGAAATGCTTGTGCTGAAGGAGCGTGAGCTTAAGGAGACTCGCAACCTCTATACAGCTGTCAAAGATATGCTGGCTCTACAACCCAGCCCCGAGATCCAGGTAGATATAGGATATAGGTACAGGTGAGAGAACTTCGAGATCTTCCACTTCTTTGAATAAAATTCTTGACTATATTGGATTTAAAATATACACTTTGTGAGGATAGAGCACAGGACAAATTTCTTATTATAGGTAGAAATAATATAAATGAACATAAGACAAATATTTCTCTTTTAATATTCATTCTAAGTGTCTCTTTCAGCAAACGCTGACTAAAACACAACGAGCGCTGGCACAGAGAACCACCAAGATGAAGTGTTTGATCGCTGGTAAATAGTTTGTTTATGTACACAGTGACTCTTAAATTGTGTTGATTTAGAAAAAAACAGACTTCTAAACATCGTAGTGGATACACCAACAATTTTTTGAGGTCGGTGTCAGCCGTGTCATAAATAAGAAGTAAAACAGCACTATCATAAAATCTATTTTTCTTTTACCTATACATGATATTTTTTTTGGAAATATCTGGCTTAAGCGGTGTCGGCCTACCTGGTAAAACCCTCCTGGGGGAGAAAGCACCAGGGATCCGGCAAGGACTTCCAGCCTCAATTCTGGGTCTCCTACGAGGCCGGGAAAAGACCAGGGAAAATAACTGCCTGTTCCCAAACGTTAGACCGTCCCTGGGGGACTACTTCCACAAGGGGCGGGTGGAGTGTCAGACCTGTACACCGGAGGGGATACGCTTATACGCGATCCTCTTCCCCTTGCCATCCTTGTGTGTTAGAGAGCACTGCCCGGGCCTCCGACCTCGGCGTCCTAGGGCTAGCCATATAACTGTACCCTCGGACCTCTCTCGCTATACAATTACCTACATCGAACTATATTTTCACTCTTAGAACTGAGCATGCGCGAGAAGCAAGTCACAGACCTCCGTTTAGAACTAGAACGAGTTAACGGCGACCTGAATTCGTTCAAGCAGCGCTACTATGAAATGAAGCGAGCGCTCGACGCAGACGAGGCGAGACGGCTGCGTGTGCCCTCACCAGCCTCACCTGCCTCGCCCAATTGAATTTTAGGTTAGCTGATATGTTTCTTATTATATTTTGTTATATCAATTGTATTATATTTCTATTTATGTTCAGTTGTGTTAATTTTTTAATAGAATATCATGAATTATCATTAGCTGGTTAAAAAATGTAGTGCCCTCATTCATATACTGTTATTTTGTTAATATCGATTCGATTGTATTAATCTTTTCAGAAACGGATACAGTGGCGTCTCAATATTGAATTGAAGAGTTACACATTTGATACACCGTTACAAGTTTATGATCTTATATTTTTGTTAGGTTTGATCAATTGTAATATGTAAACGAAAATATCACTTTAAAATGAATTTATAGTATTACATTTTGCAAAATGAACTTGCTATTTATATATGACGTGGATTACAAAAAATTAAACGTAGGCAGCCATGACGGAGCATAGTGTGACGTCAAATTTCAATAAACTACAACGTCAACGTTTTTGTTTCTTTTATGAAAGAAATACACCACAAAGGAATATCAATTCTTGTTTTATTAATATAAGAAATGAACGTTACAAACTATAATCATGATTATTGAAATCTATTGTCACGCGACCGATTTCAAGTTAATGAAAGATTTTAAACCTTTTTAGTATTGGGTCAACCCGATTTTAAGCCTAAAAATATAAGGCTTAAAATCGATTGAAGGAGTTTGACCATTTTTATCAACCTGACGTGCCGAAGACTTCATATATTTATTTGTTACTTTGTTGACACGTGATATCATAGGTCTAGCTTTTGTAATTTTATACAAGTAATTTCATATGCCTCTGTATTTTTAATGTTAAAAGTTTTCTGTGATATTTATACTAACAATATATGCTTGTTGTTAGATAACTGTACTCTTTTTATATGTATTCGGTTATCATTGGGAAATTATTTTCAAAAAGTTAAATAAAACACAAGAGTAATTAATCCGAAAACAATAGTTTTATTTAAGAACTTTTCACTTTCTCATAAAATATACACATTGTTTTTGTCATTAAACTAAACTGTAAGTAAATACTAATTTTAAATACCAATTCTCACGATTTTTAAACAGGCTGATGTGGGGGCATGCCCCGCTATTGCGTTCGGTCTCTCACGTACGGTGTTCATTCATGTACAAATTCGTCATTTACACTCTATTTAGAAATAAAAAATAATCAAATGAAAGCATTTTGTACATTTCAAATAATTAAAAAATACGACGACCTTTTTTTCATTAAGTGTGATGATAGAATCTACAGTCCATTTGTTGATACTTATAAAATAACAGTTCGTGTGCATGCGCTCGGCCATTCATACCAGCGAGCTTTTTATCTAACTTCAAACCACAGCGAAATGGTCACAAAAATCGCAAATCATTCTGAAAATATAGCTTTAGAAATTTATACCTATAAATTGAGGCAAGTAGGAAAGATAATTGTAATTATAGGTTACCTTCAGCGTTCAATAGTATGCAGTTAGATAATAGACACGCGGGCAAGAAACAGCGCGGACGATGCTGTGTGACGTCGCGGTCACCGAGGGTTGGCGAACGCGCGTTTTTATCACTCAACTATCAGATATCACTCCACTATTTATCTATATACCTCTGTAGTTGAAACACCAAATGTCTCAAATATTTTAAAAGCGATCACACACGCGCCTGATAACACCCGATGCGTTAAGTTAAATGCGATTACTTCTATACCACCAAATTTTCGGAACATGTCCAGCAGTAGTTCACACTGTCGTCATTACGTCGGCCCGCGATCGCTACACGCATTTTACTTATAACAGTATTTATATATATAGCTGTCCCAACTTACCGAATACAAACACAGAATCAACTATTCGCTCAATTTATAGCGCCGTTTGCACTGAGACGCTAATTCACTTTGATTTATGCACACGCTTTCTGTACACAATTTGTTTTGATTCATAAGGAACCTCGTTAAATATTACATGTATATACTTCTATAGTATAACCACAAAACATTTATGTTCTTAAGACGTCGATAAGCGTCAGTCACATTCCAAATGTCCGCCGACTCATTGCCCACGTCACCGAGTCTATTTTACTGTCTCGGAAAACCGACACATCCACACTCAGCGCGTCTCAATGCAAACATTGCTCACATAATTATCACTCGTTGGCTTACGACATAGGTACTTATGACATATTGCGATGGAATCAATAAAACTATTGTTTGTTTGTAGTTTGATTAGTCGCTCGGCGCCTTAACGGTACTGTAACGTAGCGTATGCCGTCGCCTAGTGGACATCGGAGCTCTCCTGCTTCAACTGGTGATTAGCCGGATCCGAAGTGTTGATCGGCTACAAAAAAAAATAAAGCATTAGATGTTATCTATTGCCAGAACGAATTATATTTCTAAGTATATTACAGTTCATACTGTGTTAGCGATTTCTTTTAATGTCATTAACAAAAACCAACTATTTACAGAATTGTGGTAATATGCCCGGTAAGTTCAAATGTACTTATATCGATGGGTCCTACCTAAACTGGTGTAAGCGGAAATATCAAATTTTAGAGAAAAACACTTTTAAGTTTTTTAAATACCTAAATTAATAGCTATAACTTTTAATATACTTTAAATTATTGTATGAAATTTTGCATAAGGCTGTTTTTTTAATATAATTAGCAGTTTTTGTGAGATTTTGCACTTTCGCTTTTTTACAATGACCTTATCTTTATTTTTTTTATTTCCACGCAACGTAAAAAGGCAGAAATTATTTTTCGCCTTTGTGCTAAACATCTTGTTTTTTGTATTGTAGATCTATTGTAGATATGTGTATTTCGTCTATATTCGATGAAATATTATATGTAGATAATTATGTCATATACCGACGAGTTTAACACAAAATAAAAAATACGATCAAATGAAATTACTTATTTTTAATGAAAATTAGTTATTAGAATTATATTTATAAGTAGTTACGTAGGTAATTATGTTAAAGGTAAAACTTAAAACAATATCACAATTATTTAATTACTTTAAAAGCAAATAATATTTAGGACAGTATCTCTGAATTATTAAAAATATCAGAAGATAAATCTTATATTTTGCTCCAGATCCGAGAAGGGACACTGTAATACAGCCTTTCCCAAAGTGGGCAATAACGCCCACTTGTGGGCGCTGCAGGCCTAAAGGGGAGCGGTAAGAGACCAAGGAAAAAAGGGGGCGTTGTGTAGAGGCTTGGGGGTGGGTGATTTGTAATTTGATTTAACTAGGAAGCCTCTTAGACACCGACTCCATCGTCACATTTGTGTGAATGTGGATTTAGTGCTGTGGCAACACTGCTTACTAAAAAGTACAATCGTTTGCATGTTACCAAACGTGGCGACTTGCGACTGTTCTTGAGTAAATTGGAACCTGATATCAACAGACTTATTAAACAACCAGCCCATTGCCATTTCAGCTTGTTAATCCAGTAGACTATGTCGATAACTTTTGTTCTACGACGAATACCTCATTTCGGATTCGTTCCTTCAAAGAATCTCCTAGCATAGCCCTCCGCAGAGCTGGCCAAGTGACTTTCAATTTATGGACAAATCCCAATGTGAGCAAACATGTTTCGGGTTCATGTGTCATAACGGGTAAGACACACACTGATTGAAGACTTTCGTCTTTAGGCTTCGTGGGATAGACAACGCGAAAACTTGACATAGTTTACCAAAAGCTGCTCAACCCAACTGTGTTATTCTATCGATCTCCTTTTCGACGTTGATAATTTTCAACAACTTCCTTTGAATCGGTCTCGGTACAACAAGGAAGTTGGACATGACTTTAGTTTTGCTTAAGTTCATCCGAAGACCTATGCACAGAGAAGAATCAGCTAGGCCATTCAGCATCTGTTATATCCTGAAATGTTTCAGCCGTGTAAGATGTGTACGCCATTTATGTTTATTTCACGTTTGTTCCAGTCTAGTGTCGTAAGCATATCCTCTTATTCATTTGTGAACAATTTGGGGGATAAAACATGCCCTTGTCTTACACCTCGATGCAAAAAGATAGGCTCAGTCTAGATTCTGGACCTGAACGGCAATGGTTGCGGCATTGTAAACACCTCAATACTTGAATAAACCGCCAATCGACTAGGCACCTTTGCAAAGACTCCAGGACAGACCAGGTCTCGACTGAACCAAAGACATTTTCGTAGTACACGAATGCTAAGCACAAGGGCCGATTATACTCTTCTGTTTTTTGTATGATCTGCCGCACTGTGCGGATGTGGTCTACGGTACCATAACCTCTTCGAAACCAAGCCTGCTCTGGTAGTTCAATTTTGTCAAGTCTTCGTGAGAGACAGTTTGTGAAGACTCTCAAAAACAGCTTGTAAGACGTGGCTCAGGAGGGAGATCGGTCGGTAGTTCTGCAGACGGTTTTTGTCTCCCTTTTAAAGAACAATATGACAACGGAGATGGCTATGGAGCGATCCCTTCCAAAAGAACGACATTAAAGATTTTTTGGAGTTCCTCGTAATGCCGTTCTCGCCTGGGCTTTTCCATTTTTAGCTATTTGAGAGCCGTCTCAATTTCGTCCAAGCTCACATCTGGCAAGTCCTCTGTAAAATGGCAACTTAGTGTGACTCTTCCATTGTTTAATTATTAAACCAAATTTTTTTACTAAACATATAATTTACGCCCTAGTGAGTCATTAGGAGAATTGTTTCGAATTTGAAAAAGAAAATTGTTTCAATACGATAAAACCGATATTTACACAAGTTATGCTTTATTGAATTTATATTATGTTCAAAACTATTGTTAACATGTAATATCTAAAAAGGCGAAAGTGCAATACGCCTTTTAACCTGGTTTTTAATAGGATTTTATTGAACTCTACAAATTCATACTTACTTAACAAAACTAATTTTTATAAATAACAATGAACGCATATACGCCTTTGTGCCTCATTTTTAAAATTGGAAATACTTACCAAAATAAATATTTTATTAATTTATGCGATAAAATAGAGTATAAGGAACACATTACATATATTATTGTAAGAAACCCTAAGCGACGTAGGACCCATCGATATTAAGAAGGAGAAAAACATAGAATAACTTTCCTAAGGGTCTGAATCTAACGTTCCACAATTTGTCAATTCTAACGTTCCACAACCAACAATTTCGCAACTCATATTACGGCAGATTGCTCATATACTAATATATTTTCTTTTGTATTCGTCATAATAAACGCGTTTAAATATAAAATTCTCTGAAATAAAGGTAAGTAGATATGTACCAGGGAGATGGGCGGTTGTGGCGAGGGTTGAACGGGCGCGGGTTGCGGCGGCAACTGCGGCGCGGGAGGCTCGTGCACAGCGGTTGTGGAGTGAGCGGCCTGCGCGGCGGCGCCGGCGTAGTATCCGCCGTTCATGCCCTCGCTGTAGCCGGCTGGCGGTGGTTGTGGCGTGGGCAGCGCACCGGGCGGCGCCAGTACGGGCGCCGAACCCGGAAGGAAGTAGTCCTTGTTGACACAGTTGCGCAGGCAGTCCGGGATGCGGCCTACTATCGCACGCCGGATCTCCGACGCGGCCATCTCGCGCAGCTCCTGCGCTGACGCGTCCGAATAGAAGGCCGCGTGCGGGGTGCAGAGAACGTTCGGCGCGTCCTTCAGGGGTCCCTGCAAACAGATATGGAAACGGTTAGAATAAATTAAACTTATTACAAGCCCTTTTCAGTAGTCCGAAAACCATTTTCCTCCCACTAGTTCTCGAATGTCCTTTTCAGTGACAAGATGCGAAAGAAACATACCGTCTCTTAACAGAAGTATAGAAATCCATTACCAAAATAATATGTGTAATAAAAAACGTTAATGATAATAAAAGTTAGGGTTCCTCATAGAACAGTGAAGGATTATCAAGATCAAGAAATAAGTGGATATACTGAATTTGTCGTTAGATATATATATTTTTTAATTATAAACTGTTCATTGTTTTTCTGTTATGGCCAAATCACAAGTTTTGACTGAAATATAGACTTTGTATAACTAGGGCTTGTAGAGTTACGCAGCTTTTGCTCTACATGAAAATGTTGTTGGTGGTATTATACTAACGAGAATCTGATCTATTATTCTATTTTAGTTAGTCATAAGTACCTAAGTTTTCAACAAAAAACAGTTAACTTTGTTAGGTCCACTAAGAGCAAGAATGCACTAGCAATTTTTAGTCGGCTGATAATTTGATCTCTTGTAGTACGTCTGAACGGCGATAACATCGCCAATTGCGTGCAATTTAATATAGCTCCGTACTGATTTACTAGAGCGATCAAATTTATCGTTCGACTAAAAATCTAGTGCGTTTCTGCTTTAAGTAATTAAACAGTATTCATAACGAAAAAAGTACTGGCATCCTAAGGTTTATCGGTCGACTAAAAATCTAGTGCGTTTCTGCTTTAAGTAATTAAACAGTATTCATAACGAAAAAAGTGCTGGCATCGTAAGGTATGTATTTGTGTGCACATATTATGTGGTGACAGGTATTTAGTTCTGATAGTAGGTACTAAGAAACAACATAGCTTTATATTCTGTTTATTTTGTTTATGTTAACACCAATATCCCGACAAAAATGCTATCGATATAATTGTCTGAATCTATATATAAAAGCGAAAGGTCACTCACGCACGCTTCACGTAATCACAGAAACTACAAGTGCTAGGAGTTTAAAATTTCCTGCGGATTCTTTTAAGGCCGTAGGTGCTCACTAAATCGGGATTTCACGAAATCCGACCCCTAAGGGAGTAAATTATGGGATCAAAGTTTTTATGGAATTTTCTCATTTTTTAACCTAAAACTAGATCACGCGGGCGAAGCCGCTGGCGGAAGGTTAGTACTGAGTAAAGAAACTTGAATATGAATAACAGTATGGCAAGTACCTGGAACACGTTGAACGGTTCATTCTCGTGAACGTCGAGTGCGGCGGCGCGGATGCGACCTTGTTTGAGCGCGGCCGCTAAGCCCTCGTCATCCACCAGCCCGCCACGGGCCGTGTTCACCAGGAACGCACCTGCGATATATCAAACTGAATATTAACAAAGCCCAGCAACTCGAAACGAGCTTGTTTCTGTAATAGAATTCAAAAACGTGTGCAAGAACCTGGATTTACTGTGGGAAGGCGAAATAAAACAGACAAAAAAAGAGCTTTTGTTTATTTTTCTCAGATGCCTGTCTAAAGGTGGCATAGATTTTTGACTTTGAAAATGCATATTAAACAGAATAAAAGCTTACTATATTATTATGATTACCTGGACGCATTTGTTTGATAGTGAACTCATTGATGAGATGGTGATTGTGCTCATTCAGGCTGCAATGTAATGATACACAATCACTCTGGAATAGGAGATCCTGCAATGAATTAAACAAACAGGTTAATATATCTAATAAATATTCTTATTTCTATGTATTAACTATTTCGTTTAGTTTATGATTAAAATGCGTTAAAGGAGAATGGGCAAGTTAATATCAGAGTTCGGCTATTTTTGCGTAACCGTGCACATTGTTCAAACCAACGGTAAACGATAGAGAATTATTTCTAGAATGAGTAAGAAAAAAACCATTTTAAATTTATGCCAGAGTTTGAGAATATCTGAATATTTAACAGAGATTTTGAGGTTATATTATAATGTCTACGTATATAAGAGCTAGAATACGGTTAATTTTAAACGCCGCATAATTTTAAAATAGTATTTATATAGAGTATATTATAATTAAGTAGAAGATTTTTGATAAATAAATGCATAGTGCTCAATTTGCGTAATTTTAGCCGACTTTTGCCCATTCTCTTTTAATATATTATGGTAAACTGACGTACAGCAGTGTGTACGTAATATTATTGTTATTGGTTATTTTTAACAGAGCATCATACTAACTTAACCTTACCATCAAAATTACGGCAGGAAAATAATCAAATACGGAATAGTACACCTAAAATGGAATACTGAAAATACTTGCAATATTATTTTTAGAGATTTGAATACAGTTTAATATAAGCTAAACGGTTCAGTAAGCCAATCGCAAATATCTAGAAGTTTACCTCTATTGGACTATAAATGGCCTATCCAATTCATATAGCATGGTTTGTTAACATAATTTTGTTGAAAAATCCATTTCACACAATTTTTTAATTCCAAATAATTAAAAAACATCGTTATAAAAAAATCGTTTACCTGTGTATATATTTAATACTTTATAAAATTGCCATAATGACTGAAATCTAAACCTCTTAAGTTTTAAACAGCAATACTTGTAACGAAAAGTAAAGAATATATATAGAGAAAAAAATATGGTCATATAATGTAAACATTATTATTTAATAATAATGGCAACAAGATAATTTTTGAGATGTAATTAGGCCACCTATCCAATTGCTGGACCATCTTAATTCCAAGCATTCTTATCTGTTAATATTATATTATTTTATACTTATAATTGGATACCTTTTAATAAGCTTTTTTAATAGTAGATTTAAACTGCATGATATGAAATTATAGTATTTTGCTTGGGACCTTGTAGAAGCCCACACATAGACCCCTGAATGACTTATGAACTTTTTGCAGTCTCATTACAGGCACCATTAATTTATTTTTATTTCTTGTATTAAAATTGTGTACATATTTTTTTTTAGAAAACAAACTAATATTTTTACGAACGTAAATTAAGTTCTCGTATATAATATAATAAATAAATAATAATAAATAAATATGTACTGAGAAGCAACAGTCATTATGTCTATTTCCTTAAAATTCTCCCTTAAAGAATCCCTAATCCTAAGATTATAAACTATTCTAATTGCTCTTTTCTGAAGCACAAAAATTATTTGTATGTCGGCATCATTTCCCCATTATAGGGTTCCGTACGACATTACACTATGAAAGTAACTGAAGTATACTAATCTGGCATTATCTATGTCAGTTAACCTACGTTTCTTCATTACGGTATATGCTGCAGAACTAAGTCTATTCGACAATTTATCAATATGTGGGGCCCACTGTAGCTTAGAATCTAATGTTATCCCTAAAAATACTGGTATCTACAAGGCCCATGTTCTTATCTTTTATATGTACATTTGTATCTACTTTTTTAACATTACATAGTACAAATTATAGGCATTTTGTTTTTCTTCATTAAGGAGAAGATTATTTACATTAAACAAATGTACTACTTTAGCGACAGAATTGTTTACATCGTCATTTAGAGCTAGCCCTCTTTTAATTTTAAACAAAAGTGAAGTGTCATCCGCAAAAAAAATATCCCTCAACTATCACTGAACTCAAAATTAGAAATGAACTCAATAATATCGAGTTTTTGGTATACTTATTATATCTTTTATTACCACGTCACTAAAAACTTCATATCACATACATCGGCGTACCCATGCAATGTGAAAACACTATAGGAATAATTAAGGAAAAAGTTTCATTATTGTATGGGATTATGTTCCATGTTCGGTTACTTTCCTCTACTAATCGCATAGGATTCTTCTTCTTTTCAATTAGTGGCTTATCTGCGCATTTCGCACAATTCTGCCAATGTCAAGTAATTAAATTAATTTTTACATATAAAATGAAAATGAAATGAATGAAAGATGAAATAGGGTTTGCAAGGAGCCACCAATAATGTGACATATACATTTACTCTTTGGCCATAACGGATATCAAGGTATAAAAACAATTTAATAAGGTTGAAATCTTTTTTTTTAATTTTTGGACTTTTTATAAAGGGACAATGATGAGTTGGATGCTCCTGTAAATACAAGACCACTTATAATTTTCATATTTTATACCTCAAAATACATATTTTTGTTATTTTGTCTTTACGTGTAAAGGCCACTAACGAGATATTGTCAGAATTGTGTAAATGCAAATACGGCATACATTAAAAAGCAAAGGAACTAAAAAGCATTCAAAATCATAGACAAACGTTGCTAATCTAAGCAAGAGCTTAGTAAGGTTACCTAACGTTACAGATTTGATGAAAATACAAATCTGCTTAAGCTATTCTTAATATTAAATGATTTCTAGTAAAGCTATGCCTTGTTATAGGTTAGTGAAAACGGGCCTATAATCTAGCAAGTATCTTTATAATAATATTTTTGGAAATCCAAATTGTCCTTGTGGGGGCTTCTTTTGGTATAATTCTAACATAAATGATTCATTGTTGGTCTCCTTTCGCTATGCCTATTTTAGGTTGATAGCTTCGATTACAGGGTAAATAGTAGGCGTCCGTACCGTCCCGAAAACAAACATGAACTGAGTGATCGGCGATGATGTGGACGTGCTCAAAATCATGGCCAATCTTCCTTTGATTATTGTCCAAAAAACCGACACAGCGACGATCATGCACGATCATGGGCCATTTTAGGCGATCACACCCTCTACTCAATGGTGATGCCTGTAATCGCAAAACCATGGGCGATTGTGTAGAGGGCCTATTATAAGTGCTAAATAAATATGATAAAAATTACTTCTTTTACTTGTCAAAATCTACTAATATACACATTTTTACAAGTAAGCTAAAATAACATTCAATTAAATTATTAAATTCGTTTGACCATAGATGTTATAATATAAAAAATGTACGATTATCGAAAGTCATCAAATCGAAGTCTATGTAGACTTCGATTTGATGACTTTACAACAATCTTTATAGCACACATACAGCCAATTGCACAACGTCTATTAAATTTTTCATTAGTTTAAAGCGACATTGCCCGTACAAATTTGACCCTCATGAGAGCTTAAAACCTTAATGGACGTTTGTTCAACTGACCGGATAATATGGTATATGATATTATTATTGTGAACTATAATTTCATCCTATGAATAAATCATACATTATTTCTGAATACAGTCAACTTTTCGGCTGTCTTTTCAGATTTCTTTACACAAGCTATGCTGGCAATAGGCATTCAATAAGACATGAGAACTAATGGAGCGACATATTTGAAAAAATAATATTTTGTATAGCGTTATAACATTGGGGAGAGAAAAACGTCAACGTGATGTGCCGTAACGACTACGATGTTCGATTTTGCTCTTTGGAGATTTCCTGTGGGTAGTTCTAATGAATTTACACATTTTTTCAACACCGCCCGCTTACCCATGTGTTCACGGTGTTTTCTAATCCGCGGAACCGTGACTTAGGTCGTGTCTAGATACTGACCCAGTCCCCGGATGGCGGGAAGGAGAAAGTGATAGAGGCGCTCTAGGATAGCATGTAAGGAAGTATAAAGCATAAAAAAGTGGTAGGAAGTGGAAAAGGGGACAATAGGTTCAGTGGGTGTCATCAATGAGGTAGTCAACAGTAATAATGTTATTTGTTTCTGGTTAACCTAAATTAATAAATATCTATGGTATGTATAGCTTAAACCTTTTAAAAAACATATCTCAATAATTAGATTTGTTAAGTTTCTGCTGAGTTTCAGTTTAACCAAACAATTTAGTTACAAAAATTAAAAGAGGATGCGGAATTTAATTGTAAAAAACAACGATTAAAAATAATCCCGGTCGCATCCTTCATCATAAATAAAAACGAGACCACACATTGTGAGATTTAACTATATTTATTTTCTTCTTGACTGTAACTTGTACAAAAAGGTTGCTGATTGGTGGGAAATTTTAGCTCTTGATTAAATTTACCTAAAGGATGAATATGTAGAAAATTGAAATTATATGATATTTAGAAGTTTTCTTTGATTGAAAGTACTTTGTGTAACACTGACAACTTAAAAGTTTCTATTTAGGCCAAACACAGGTTACATTTAACCTTCTCTCACTTAACTAATACAAAATAATAGAAGCGCTTACAGAATTTCACAACTGTAAGTATACAGAAACAGTGTCTGCATCAAGTCTAAAGCAGTGTTTCTTCCGATTTATCTCACGCTCTCAAAGAGCAAAACCGCTCATTGAGCAAACAAATAGCTCACAACGCGTTGTGGTCACAGTAAAACTGCGCGAAAACGCAAAATATCGCGAAATTCGTGATGCTCACAGCGCGTTATTGGAATTAAAAAAAGACCACATAGCTAAATTGGTGTCGTGGCTGACACAGAGGAGTAGGTCGCACATCACATACTTGGTTTAGGCCCATAGTGAGTTTTATAACCGGCAACGCCGTAAAAGAATAGAAAAACATAATAATAATAATAATTCACGCTTCATGGCTTTTTTAAATTGCCACAACGCGTTAAGGGTCGAATAGCATGACAGCCAAGCACGAAGATCGCTATGTAGTCTTTCTGTTATTGCCACAACGCGTTGCGAGCGTTTTCATTACAACCATAACAAGAATTTCGCGTTGTGACTATTTTGCTGTGATCACATCGCGTTGTAAGCTTTTTTTTTCGATCAATGTGCGGTTTCTGGCTTTGAGCATACACTATTTGTCATTTTTAGGCCCAAGAAGTCTCTCATTTCTAACTCTGAAAGATTCAGTGCACCATGTTACGTAGGTTATACACACAAACCTGCAGCGTGTAGACTCTCGTGAGGCCGAGTGACTTCTCGATGCCGTCTGGCAGGTAGGGGTCGTAAAAGATGACGTTAAAACCGAAAGCCTTTGCCCTTAGCGCGACGGCTGAACCGATGCGGCCAAGTCCCACGATACCGAGCGTATCGCCTCGGATACGCGCACACCCCGCTGCCGCCTCGCGCACCTGCTCTGGACCTATGTAAACAAACGTTTGCTTCAAGATCACCACTATAATAATATGAATACGCTTCAAAAGTCACGGCATTGCCAACAGTGAGTGATGTGAGCGTCTTTTAAAAAGAAGAGCTTCTGAATTACCACCTCTCTCGTCAGTGGGACAATCCCGCATTAGCTCGCATATTTTTTTTATAAAGCAAAGTATCACAAATGTCGACAGCTCTGCATCATTAAAAGATGAAGTTCTAATAAATATGATATTACAGACACTATGATCTGATTAGATACCACACACAAATCATGAATTGTTTGCTCCCAAGTAGAAAACGCCAATTGCGGATTACAAAATCAGTTTCTCATAATACACCGCACTTTTGATATATCTCACATAATATAAAAAAAAGTGCTAACTATATAGTAGCACCTTTTTTTCCTCCCTAATTTACCTCCCTAATGAGGCGACTATGGTTCTAATATACTTATCGACGTTTTATGTCCATCTGGGTCACCAATTAACATATCGACTCTGGAAAGAAAACACGTAGTAACCCGCAAAACCAAAATTGTTCTTCAGAGCAGAAAAACTTTAATTTTTTTCGATAAATAATTCTTATAAACGTCCATGGTAACAAATAAGGTGTTCCTTAGTTCATTTATACTAAAATAAGATTTTTTTGGAAAAATTATGAATTGTGTTGACATTGTAACAAAAACAACAGAAGAAAATCACAGATAATAAATTAGTTATTACTAAGCGTAATGCAAAAACTTAAAGAATAGGAATAAATCCAAAACACCTTTGTATATCATTGTCCGCCGCAAATAGATAAGGACAGAGGACGTCTAATTGCGGATAAAAAAACTGTTTGATAAATTACTCGCAAACTTTATATTACGACTATTGTTAACTGCTGCATGATTCCACCGGTTACTTAGTGATTTACTTGTTATATCAACTTTCTCTATAAAAAATAATTACTATAAGAAATGAAGTGAATTTAGAATTATTGGGGTAACTTTGTTGTTTTGTTCTATAGAGAAAATATTATAAATTAACGTTTTAAACAGAATCGTTACACATATGATGGTATTTTATATTTTTTTATGTACAAAACCAATTGAAAGTTACCAAGTCACACATGAGCTTATTAAAGATTTCGACGGTGTAAATGATTAGAAATTATGCTGTTCTCAGTACAAATCCAGGGTCTGTCACACAAGTTTGTAACAGTAACTAAATAAACTATATTAAGTATTGTATTTATTTTTAAACTAAAATGTACCTGTGAATTTTTTCCCTTCCCGCACCATGTTCGCGAGCCAATACGTCCGCCGGTATAAATTCAATATAAGACACATCGTCGTGTCAGCTACTTCTTCTACACCGTAACCCGGAACATTACATACAGCTATACCTGAAATTAAATAAACAAGAATATCAGTACTGCCTATTCATCATAATATAAAACATAGTCTAATCTATTCTATTTTTAATGCAAGTCTTTTGTCTATTCTTGTAACTGTACAAGTTGCAACAACAAACAATATGAAGATTCCGTTTTTAATAAATACCAAGGGCATAGAAGGGTTAATTAGTAATACCTGAAACCCATATCCATCTCCGGCAGATATTTACAATACCCACCACTCTGCCATTTAACTGTATTCACTTCGACATTCATCTATAAAATAACACACCGTAGTTACGGAACTACGGTGTGTTATTATAGCCAAACGTCGAATTCTAATACATATATTTATTACTACCACCCGATACTGTGTAAGTTTATATGAAACTATATATCCCTAAATATAAGGAATGAGAGGGGTTTACTGCACTGATATTCTGCAGAAGTCAACAGTGACAACACGGACTACTTTATAATAAAATTGCAGGTCTCGTTTATAAACATCATTCATATTAAAAAAAAAATAACTGGGTAATCTTACCTAATTCACCAGCCGCTTTAACATCGATGTTGTCTACTCCTGATCCTATGCGGACTATAATCCTCAGCGTCTTGAACTTCTCGAGGTCCTCCTTGGTGAGAATAATAGTGTGCCACATCAACGCGCCTACAGCCTCATTCAGCACCTTCTCATGTATCTCGGAGGTGGACTGCGCGTCGCAGAAAGCAACCGTAGCCACGTCTTTCAGTATAGGCATCTCCACTGTGCAATCCCGACCGTCTAATAACGCCACCAAGGGCCTAGAAAAATGAAAAGGAAACGTGTTAAGTAAAACACTATATGTACGTACATATAACATTAGGTTAAAATTTTGTTATGTATGAACAAATACATGATTGATATTATTATTTAATTTTACGTGTAATACATGTAATAAGTTAAAAATAATGTAATGCACAAACATACATCTGTACACTATATTACCAACATCTAATATTTTAACAGGACAGTACCAGGCCCAGAAAAAACGAATAAATATAAAAGAAGTTCTACTTTATGTATTTCTTTATTCCTCATGTCTACTAATATTGCAACTGCTGTTACGCTTACACATCTAAATCAATTCTGCTTTATTTTCTTCTTTTCACGGTTTCCATTTTTACCTGGTGTAGAAAAATATCTTTATAACTTCTTCACTAATAAATTTTATTGTAATAGTCGACATGCGAACGAAAATTTGCAAATTAATTCTTTAAAATAAATTAAGTATCAACACCAACGACGTTTTATTATTAGACACACCCTACCCGTACATTATTGCGTTAACATAACAACGTAAACTTTATTGAGGTAGTGTAACATTATAACACAAACACAAAGGGCGCGAACAAATCAAAAATAGTTATCTGCCTATTAGAATGTACAGCATATCTCTTGTTTGAACGAGATAAACATACTTTTATAGCTTTACGTGTCAACACAAAAAAAAACTTATTAAAATAAAAAAAGAGTAATCACAGTACTTACGCTTATATCTTTTTTTTTTGCTTTTATCATTGTCAATGTGTAATTTGTGCATTGTTTAAAGACGCAGTAAGGCATTTTTCTACAACTTTTCACAGAAAATTAAAGAGTGAAAACACCATTAGGCACCACTCTTTCTGAAACGTGACTTAAGTGAAACTCGGACAAGTCACCGTTCGGCTCCGAGTTTACTTAGTAAAAATGATTTCTGCTCAAAAGCTCATACAAAACGCTTATTAAAAGATGTCTTTAAATTGAAGGCCTGCTATGCCTAAATATTCATTTGCTTGTGATCCACAAATGATTCTGAATCATATTTCGAAATGGATTCCTAATGAAGACCTAACACTGGTAAAAATAACCAAGTTACTTGTTATTTTACTCGCCTTATAACCGCTCCAGAGTTTAAACTCTTTCACTTTTTAAAATTTGCAACATTAAGAGTCAATAATATTATACAAATAAATAATAATAATAATATCATTAAAACATCGGGCGTCGGGCGAGATGAGATAGCCAGATTTATTTTTACCATACTTTCAACAAACCTAAAAGTATTTCTCCAGCTTCGGTTTTGAACGATTATCTAACAATAACAGAAAACATTAGGCCTCATGATGTACAAAACTTATTGTTAACTTTGAAAGCCCCACATAAAACAGCGACTACTCAAACCATCAACCGATGGATTAAGCAGGTACTAATAGAATGCGGCGTAGATGTGACATCTAAATTAACGGTAGTCAAAGAGTAATCTGGAGAAGCAGGCACAGATCAATCGAAACAATATTATGAGTATAGATACTCGAATTGATAGATAAATTAAGTTTCAAAGCAAATTCTGTAAACTTGGGAGTCCTTCGAGAAGATCGTGGTTCGGCCAACTAACTAAATCAAGGGAGTCAGCCAGGCCCCTCGCTCACCCACTTGTATAATTAAAGCCCGCCAGTACGATTAAACTAATAATTTAAACTTTCGTCATATCGAAGCAGAATTATTATTATTATTGCCGGCGAAAGTTTCAGCAGCGGAACGAGAAAGTAATTCCGGGCGGTGAAGGAGTTTTCAGCAATACTAAAACTTTCCCAAGGCGGACGAAAACAGATTTGGTGGCAAACAAAGAGGCCAGCCTAGCGTCTTGGGGCGGGCGAGGCGCCTTACGTGGAGGACGCAACCCCTTCGGACAAGTTTTGATGGAAACCAAATAGGATTAGCGCGCGAGAAAAGAATAACTGGAGTGAACCAAACAGACGAAGGACGCTCGTCGCTTTGTTAACTCGCCACCCCGGTATTGCGGACATTGCTAGAATGCGAATTACGGCCAGGAGGGTTCGCTTGGTTTCCTCGGTAAACTGTTTATTAGTTGACAATTGAGTAGAGGGTAGTGCGCAATAAACTTCTATACTATTAACTTGGAGTTAGGGATAGTTTAAGAAAACTAATCATTGCGTTAACAGTCGAACAATAACATTTCACGTAAATTTTATTTGGTATTTGATACTTTTTTATTATTATTTTCATTAAAGTAAATTAAAATTGTGAAATACACTTCCTAGTAGTAAAGTTATTTTTTATGTCATTTATCAGAGAAAAACCAACTGACCTTGACTGCAGGGGTCCATTAGCAATGGGACCCCGCATGCTATCCATACGCGCTCTCTTTGGCAGCATCTTGCGTTTGTCCATTTAAAGCGGCAGAGCCGCTTTAACCACCGCTCTGCAGCGCGTCACCTGAAATAAAAAAATATATTGTTAAACTTATATATGATATAGATACACACATCCCACAAAACGCGGTTAGCTAACTTCCTCTATTCGTATATGATCTTCAAATACGAAAGGAAGTCAAGATTCTTATAACGAAATTTAACGTTTAACTGGGCTTATGGTGTCTTATTTTAAAGACAAGAGAAAAATTGTTTCAAATATACAACTACGGTATGTTAAGTCTATTTTTCTTACTTGGGATAATTAGTAAACGAATATGGCGTCTTTATGAAATTTGACATTTAATAAATGGTTGGGAAACATTGAATTATGTAATGAATTATCTACTAATGATTAACCTATGAATTAACATTTTTGTATATTTAGTCATTTAATAATTTAGTATTAAAACCATAGATTTTACAAAGCGACTATACGAATGAGTTTCTGGTTAAGGAAATTATGAACAATGATTTATTTTGATATATTTGTTTAATTTTTTATAAATATTTATTACGTAGTTATATTTAGAGCATGGATGATTTTACTTCTTCCTATTTCTTTCTAATGTTGTAGAATATTATACCTGCGTGTGACTTACCGTATATTCTCTAATTCAATATTAGTTGGGTTTAAAAATATTTTTATTACAGTAAGAAATATAATTATTTAGCAATAAAAAGGCAACGGCGACCTCCTAGCCAATACAACTATTCTTAATAGCATTAATTGGATTAAGGGATTATAAACAAAAGCATATTGGAAAAAACAAATTAGATTTGGTGAAAATATATTAATCTAAAAAAAGGATTTGGCAAACTCTTTCACATTTTTGTCACGAGCTCTCCGTCTAATATCACATTGAATACTATCTTTGGTACAGATTTAATACTTTTAGAAGCATTAAAATCAATCACTAATATTTATGATCATCAACAAAACAAATAAAGTTTTATTTGATAATGTGTCAATTCTATATATATGGGATATCATACTGCCAAGACTGTAGCAACCTTGAAGCGACGTTATGGAACTTGACGGTGTAGTTTATGTATTTCCAAAAAAGCGACAGTGTAAATCTGTTGTTGCATAAATTCAGTTTGTTTTGAATTAACAATGTCTCAATTGAGCACAAACTCTTTATGTAATTGACGATAGGTAAAACACTACAAGACGCAAATTTAAAAAATATATATATTTAATAGGTGATAAGAACTTCAGAGATTTCCGTCGTTCGAATACGTGTCGGTACTAAAATTGGAACCTAAGCGTCGAGCGCCGCGTTATTATACCTAATTCAAAAAGTTTTATTTTATTCAAACTTTACTCAAAAAACGAGGACTAAGTTATAGTAGGGGAGCCCACGATGCTAAATCGGGATTTACTCGAGCGTCAAAGATACCTATTGGGGTGCGAAGCTTAGATGATAACAAAAAAAAATTTCATATAATATATACCTTTTCATCGGTGGGGGAAGCGACTATAGATTTTTAAAAATGTAAAAAAAAACTGTCGTATGGACATACTCGAGCGCGTCAGATATTAATATCATCCATGTCCTACGCATTTTTAAAAACTGTCGTATGTTAATCTGATCGTTTCCATGATGGGGGTGGTTATAAGTAAGGGTTGAAAATGAAAAAAAAAAATATTTAATCGAGCGCGTCAGATTTTTTGAGGGGATGTCAAGTGAACCTAAAAAAAAGCTCTCATATAATAATCTGACGATTTGGATGTGACGCAAACGTGTGACCATTATAAGAATGTGCAAAAAAAAATCGCCATTTTGAAATACTCAAGCGCGTCAGATTAAGATATATATGGTTCATCTTTATGCCCCAGACGTGATATCTCATAATCTGACGATTATCTGAAGGGATTTACTTAAACTGACACTAAAAAAAAAATTTTTTTTAATTTTTTCAAATCATTGAGCTTAATTAAATAGAAAAGCACCGGAGTTAGCATGCAAATAAAAAAGTGTATGTTTTTTTTATGTAAAATACTTATATTTATAAGAAAATGATTATATGAAAATTTAATTTTTACAGTATTTTTTATTAATTATCATCTTCATCGCTAGAATTATCTTCCTCTTCTTCTCTTAATAAATATGTAAAAAGTTTAAACAAAATTTACATTAAAATAACAAAATAAGCAAAAACGTTGAAAATACGATGTAAACAATATTACGCCACGAACGAGTCTGTGTCATCAGCTGTCATGGCGTCATGACAACCGAAACCAGAGTGGGGATGAAAAAAGACAGAAAAAGAGAGAGAAATAGTGATGCGGAGAAGGAAATATAGGTATCACGTAGCTTAAACGCATTAAATCTTATCGATGAATTTTTATTACTTCGGCTTGTGACAATCGTCAGATTATATATTTTTCGTAATCCTTGAATGACTTCAAAATAAAAAAAAATTAGTCACGCTCGAGAATGTCAAAGTGACTTTTTTTCTTTACAACTTTGTAGCCTTCCCCCTTCTTTACGTCACTCTCAAATTGTCAGATTAGAGGTATGTACACCTTTTAGCATGTAACTAGCTCACCTTACCTTAATCTGACGCGCTCGAGATTTTCAGATGATCAATTTTTTTTTACTAATCTGATCCTTCGTCCTTGCCGGGCGGCCATTTTTATAGGGTTCATACTTGGTCCAGGTACTTAACTGGGTACAAGGTATCCCCCTGTATATTAATCTGCCGCGCTTTAGTAAATCCCGAAATCCCCGCTTCGGCTGCCCTACAATTAGTTGAGAAACGCTCTGTCTACACCAAACGTCACTTTTACTCGGCTCGAGTGAGATCTTGTATGGGTGCACCCGAGAAGTGACTTTGGGTGTAAACAAAACATTCTCGAGTCCGTCATGCCACGCAGGCTCGTTTTAATCACTCGCCGCCTAGTGCAAATTGACAATGACAGAAGGGAAATGTGAAATTGAGCCGTACTGACATAATTTGGTCGGACAATGGTCTCAAATTGATACTTGTTGATTTATTTTAGATGGATAGTAGTTTAAGCCGTACTATAACATCTTTATGTCTGTGATTTGAACCCTCATTTTTGATTATTCTTATTTAGTAATTTTATTGCCATATAGGAAATTAATTTTATGAATGTCAATGCAGGAAGCACGGCTCCTAAGAAAATCAGCTCTGCATTTGAGTATATTTTAATTAAGAAACAAATATTATGAACAAATAAAAGTTAAAATGGTTATTTTTTAAAGTAATTGTCGATTAAATTAGCTTATACAACATTAATATTATTCCTACAATCTTTCACTACTTACGCAGAACGATTACAAGCAAAATGACACATACTATTGTTTTCGCTCGAAGACAAACTAGAGTTATATTCAAAATACTTTTATTAATAAGAGTAATAAAAGTTTGATAAAATGTAATAGATTACCTACGTAACTAATAATAATAAAACTTGGTACCTATAAGTTAGAATCTAGCTAGAATAACATTTTTATTGACACGATTGTATCAACCAATCTTTTATTTAAATCTGTTCGAAATAAAATTTCATCAAAACAACATAGGCAATAACTTTAATTATCACACTATCCAGACTTTCATATTACACTCAAAATTACCAGGGGATAGATGTTACGAAATTCTGAGAGCTCACTCCCAAGTAAAGCCTCAACAACGACGCGACGTAGCACACGGACAACTGGTCGCTGATTTGCATCCCATTTCCATCGAACCAAGCTACTTCCAGGTCGGGTAACTGAACTATGACCTACATACAAAAGTTTAACTTTCTATAGTTGCAAAGTATGCTCGAAGAGTAACTCTTTTCTTCTACTTACATTAGAGCTCAACATTTATCCTGTCCAATCTATCCGGTAAATATCCAATTAACTTGTTAATGATTATTTAAATGAATCTAACAAGCGTTCAATAAATCTAGTAATTTAATTGGAGGTTGGAGATTGGAGACAGGTACTTTTAATTATTATACGCGTTAATAATCTCATGTAGAGCATTTGGGAATAGTAACTTTTTATATGTATTTTTATAAAAGATAAAGAATAATTTACGTGAAATCAGATTTTTTAATGATAATAATACAAATTCATCATAGCTGCATTTGCAAGTCGCAAAATTATATACTATTATATTTACAGAAGAAAATAAAGTGAGTCAGTTGTATAGCACTAAGGTTAGGGATGAATATAATCCTTATAAGGTTAGATCTTAATAAGTATATAATGTAGGAACTGAAGCTACTCACAATGGTAATGTCATTAGTGGTGTCGTTCGCCTACAGCTCTGGTAGTTGTAGTGGCGCATAGCTTTACCTAGAGCAAAAACATAACTATTGAATTTTACTGCCATGACGTTTAATATTTTAAGATGAGAATATAAACATTTGTATAAATTTGACGCATATTCATTGCGAGAAAGAGGGATTGATCTTACTAAGCATCATTCTGTCAATTCGACAATTCGAAAGTAAATTCGGTTAATAAGTCGCAGATAGTTTAATTTTAAGTAATATTTGTACTTTATTACGTAAAATTACAAGACTGACACAATACAGTATAAATATATGTATAGTCGTTAGCAGTTACAAATAAAAATAATGTGGAGTGTAAATAGCCTTATTTTCTTAAGTTAGAATAATAATGGTTACATTTTGGTAGGCACAAATAAATAGAACGTTACTTTGCATGAAATTATTTGGATGAAATATAAAATAAATATAATTTAGGTTAAATAACCGCCAAAATATGATAACCTGCAACTTTTACTCCCAGTCAGTATCTGCAAGACCTGCTGTGCACCGCCTGCACACAAATTGACATGTACAAACGCGACAAATCTCTCAAAATTCAGCATGTGAAACGAGTCAAACGAGCACGAAAGAATACCACCTATGAATATATGGGCTATAAGTAGTATAAATAAAAATATTATTACCATAGGTAATTCTCAAAAAAAACTAAATGATGAAGAGTCAGAAGTGGGAAGGTAGCTAGAACACCCTTTCCAAAGTGGACAATAACTTATGGGCGCTGCATGCCTGTATGGGGGCAGTAAGGGACCCAGAAAAGTAAATGGGGGCGTTGTGTAGAAGCTTAGGAAAAGTTAACAAGAGATTTATGTACTACCTAATGTGCTCAGGGTTCGAGTTGACTCGTCCGCGTTATAGAAAAAGTTCGTTTAGAATTAATATTTAATTTTAATAAAGCTCAAAATAATTCATTTCATTGACTGTTATAGAAGTTAAGTGGGTTGAAGTAGGTGAAAAATGGGGGCACAAAAAAAAAATTATTCTCAAAGAGGGCAATAGGACAGAATAAGTTTGGGAATCCCTGCTTTAGAACAACGATTGAGAATAATTATAAGTCATTTCATTTGTTCTCAGAATAATTATTGCCTAACAACTTTCAAAAGGCGGGTATAGGTATACCTAAAATTATTTCAACTATATTAAGTGTATATTCATCAACTCCAATTCTGAAATAAAAAAGGTCGTACGCTTTATTTTGTCATAAAAAGTGAACATATAATTGAATGATCATGTTGATAATTAACGAATGTGTGGATCAACATTTTTAGCGGGTTTTTTAGTAGGCCACATCATAGGATTAGTTAAAACAAATTTAATTGTGATTTATCAAGAACATTTCTTTGTACGAGTTTTTAGCAGAGTTTTTATACAAAAGTCAAAATACCCAACGGAAGTTTTGAGAGTTTATCGACACCAGTTCAATGATATTAATTTGTCTAAATACGCAATACATACCGTAAAAGCGAAGCTACTAAAGTTAAGCATATTTTAAACCATCTTAAACGTCACTTAAACAGGTTTTCGTTCGATTGTAATTTTTTTAATGATCAGTTGATAGCAGCTTGATAAAACTAGGACTTTATATGTCATGTAAAAACGTAAAAAATAAGTTATTGAGAATAATTATCTAGTGATTTTTTAACTTTTCTCAATCCAAAAACCGGCCGTTAGACGTTTGTCTTAATTGACTTATTCTTCATTCCGATACTCCCGCCAAGAGAGTACAAACAATTGGTCCGCAAAAAAGAATAACTATTATGGAAAACGTACAAGTCCCTTTCTCAAATACCCTTTTGCAATTGATTCACCTGACTATTCAACATTATCAGTTTAAGTTATATGTAAATTGTTACGTCTTACAACTGACGATAAGGTTTCCATATTAAGATGAAGAATTTCTGTGTATAATCCTACTCATAATTACTGAACAAAAGATTTTGAAAACTGTATGTAGATTAAGAAAAAATAAGTCGAAATCAATAGGCCACTAAGGAAGATAATTTAATACACACACATCTTGTTTCTATATATAATAATATATTCTTTATTGCACGCTAAACAGGAAATATTTCAGAGAAACTAGAAAAAGAGAAAGAATATAAAGGGCGGTCTTATTGCTAGGTAGCAATCTCTTCCCAGCAACCCAGAAAGAAAGAAAAAATAACCTATATAATAAACATAATACCCCTATTATGTTTATTATATAGGTTATTTTTTCTTTCTTTAAGGGGGGAGGGGGTCAAAATGGTGTAGTAAATAGATAAATCGAAATAATAAACTAGATAAAAATCAAAATAAAAAAGTTATTCAATGTAAACATCTTACTAGTTTTCAAGGAAATGTGTCTTTACTTGTGCAACAAAACTATGTAAAGTGCGAGCCTTTCTTATGGCTTCAGGCACGAATTCCAAAGACGTACCGCATATATCGAAAATGAATATTATAAAAAGTCGGTACTATGATGAGGAATATTAAAGGTAAGTTAAAAGAAGAGCTTAGAGTACGCTGTGAAGAAGAGGATCGGAAAGAAATGTATATTTTTTATAAGCAGAAGTCAAAGGTAGGAAAAGTATGGAATAGAGGAGTGTAAGAGCATTAAAGTCTCTTCGCTGGCGAATAGGGAGCCAGTTTAGTTTGGCGCGGAAGTATGACAGATGGTCATATTTGCGAAGATTGAAGATGAATATGATACACAAATTCTGCAGACGCTCTAGCTTCTTAAGAAGTCCTTCCAACAAATCAGTGTAACAAATATCAGCGCAGTCAAAACTGAAAGTAAAAGGGTATTTGCCAGGGCAATTTTCGTGTATGTGCGTAAAAAGTTGAGTAGTCGATTAAGTAAGTCATACGCGGCAAACATTCTCTTCCCGAGCGATTCTAGAAGAGGTTTCCGAGAACGACACTGGTCACATATTATATTATTATTATTAGACAACATCACATAGGTATATTGCTCAGATTCCAAAATAAGTTACTAAAGCCCTGTATTATGGAGTATTTGAGACAACGAAGGTACCACAATACACAGACCAGAGACAATATAGAAAAGAGAAGGCGACACCTTAAAACCGGCGTATGAAAATCTCGGCTAAAGAGGTCGTTTTCATTATCGAAGGACTACAATTACGACAAGGAATTGAATAAAGTTAAATTGAAGAGTAAACCTGGAATAAAAAAACATGTCCTGACGTATATTTTATTTGTAGTTTGCATTCACAATGCTATATTGATATTTAGGTTAAATGCCAACGTTCATAGATTTTCTTTAAGAAGAATAAGTTCTGACAAAATTAACCATTATCCAAAAGTCATTATCTAAATACCGTCAAAAGATTGACAGATCCGTCGACAGATTGACAATGCGCCGCTCAGTTATATTTCGATGTCCCTTATGCTGTTTTGAGTTTCTTATAAAATACGAAACTTATTTTTTTAAGATATTTTATCAATGTTCCATGAATATTCACAATGCTATACTGCTCTGCTCTAACCACTGAGCTACCCAGGATCTAACAAGACCGACGAATTTTTCAAGCACTTGTTATTTTTTTGCTACTACTCCATAGAGTATTTTCATCAATTTTCAGGCAATCCAGCTAAACAACAGAAATAAATAATTTTTCAAACTTAGACCGTAACTAAAGGAAGATATTTAGATCATTATCAGTTTATGAAAACAAAGACAATTGTATATGGAACGTTATTTTTCGGTATACCTTTTTACGGAATTGTTAATTAGTTATTATCACTTTTTAATGCTGTTAAAATATGGCTTAAAAATCGGTGGTGTATACATATAAATAAAATAATATTTTTAGGTATTAGTGTACCTGTGATGCAAAATGGTAAAGATAAGAGCAATTTACTTTCAATAATTGGATCGATAGAAAAAATCGCAAGGATGACTTTAAATAGGTTATTCGGATCCACTTTGCGACTTATAATTCATTTTAAGTAAATATATACAAAAATAGGTTTTGATCCAAAAAACTCATTATAACACATTTGTTTTTTTCTGTGATTAAAAATGTATGAAATTCTCCAGTTGCGTATTTGTTTGGATATTTGTGTAGGAAAGTAAGCGGAGGTTTAAGAGGACCTTAAAATGTCAACCGAAATCTATCGTAACTTTCTTATTAACTTCAATGACATCAAAATTCATAATCATACCTAAATCAATATTAAATATAGACTCTTAAAATGTAAACAGGTATTCGGTGTAGCATTCGGTAGAATAGATAAGTATGATCAAATAAACGTTACATCTTCTAAAATAAATTGCTAACCAGTAAAACAAATCTGCTCCCCAACAAAACAGCTATGATACATATACCTGACGTGTGAAAAACAAACGAACTTTCAGTAAGCGTAGAACACACCAAAAACGATCGTTTAGGTTATACGTTTCCAACAGAAATCTACATAAATATTTAGGTTTAAAGACAATTAAAACAAAGCGTGCACTATGTACATTAATGTAAAAAAATAAAAAAAGTATTGATGTCGATATCTAGGACTCATCGGTTTTGTAAATAGAATTTCTTATCATACTCCAATATCCTTACTGATAGAGAAAGTAATCGGCATTAATTTTATCATTTTTGGTTAGTTATATATAACATTTAATTTTGTTTATTTAATATTTATGTTTTTATACTGTAAATTTTAACCCCCACGTGTTCATTCTAAACTAGTTGGCAATTTAACAATTCAGATAGCATCTGAATAATTATTGTTATGCATTTGATGTTTGTTTACTAATAAATAATATCAACTTACCAACGCTGCTGTTGCGACGTAGTCAGTCGTTGATCACCGGTCCATCGACACACCGACATTGACTTGAGGCACGCGTCGCCGCCACCGCGGACGTACGCGCTCACTCACTGTCACTGCACTTGAAACACTCACTCACTGTATAACTCACTAAACATTCACAGCACTTATACTATCCTCTCACCCACTCGCACCACCTGAAACAAAACGAAACTCTCGTTAGATTCAAATATAAAAACGATATGTTCTCTGGACTGCAAGGAACAGTAGAGCCGAGAACTAGGAATAACTTAATGTCAAAACTGACAGTTTTTACACAACTGCCCAAGAAAAGGAGTGTCTTCTATTTAGGGTTAATGTAATACTTTATGTGTTTCTTTATTCCACCATGACTTTTGACTTAATAAATATCAATGTATAGGGTATAATTAAAAACCTACATTATCCCGACTATCAGAGGTGAGCTGAATATTAGTTTGGCATACGGTATCTGATGTATTCAGTATCTTTTCCACATTTATATTCGGCAGAATTATTCAGTTTTGATGCCGTATATATTCGGTTCAAGTATTTCTATTTTCTTGGCTACACGATGCGGCATAGAACAAAAATTCAAAATTTCTTATATAAGATTTACATCATTATTATAAGTCAAATAAATTATATGAAGAATATGTACGTTAAATGTATAAATTAAATGTTTGAATAACTGTAAATCAGCATGTTTTTTAAACCTGTTTACGAGAAAAAAAATGAAATAGTATACTGAATAATTCGGCCGAATGTCCGGTTCGGTAAAGGTTAAATCGAGTAGTAATCGGTAATTCGGTGAAACCCATCTCTACTGGCTATATATATAGTCTCGTCATAAATATTGTTACATAAAAACCAAAATTATTTTTTAATTGAACGTAACGTTTATTACTATTACAGTGTGATAATTTATATAAGTTAATACATTAACTATAGAGCCATTAAAATATCGCATATTCAGAGTGGTCTCCATTGGCTACAGCCAACGTTTAACGTTGAGGCCATTTATCAATAGACACATGCACTCATTCCACGGGAAAATTCTTAACTGGCAATTCGCATGAATTATTTATGGGACTCCAAATTATCATGGCGTTTAGAACAACCGTTACTCTCTATATGACCGATAAATCAAAATCCAGCTGATTAAGATCTGGATTAGATGCCGGACAGTCTTGAGGTCTGATGAAGTCCAGAGCTTGCGTTTCTAACCACGGCACCGAATCTTGCTAAAAAGACCATTCTTGGCTATTTGTATATGGTGTTGTTAGTCAACTGAACGCCATAATCTAGTAACTTTGTTTCTCCACGAAGCAGATTTAGATACACAACATACTTGCATTGAGCCAGGGTATTCAACATACTAAGTATGTTATCTTTCGTCGCAGACATCGACGTAATACTTTACGGTCCATAAAGCGCGGAACCGACGAACAGCAACATTGTGCCTTTATAGCCAGATTTACCTGCATTGTTTTCATAATACACGAACTCGTACTTTGCTACTAGAGAAGACTAGACCTTTACATTAGTGAGTGAATCAGCTTAATATTCCTTAACAGCTAAAATGCTAATTTTAGTATTAAAAAAATCCTCTTATCTCTTACCACTCGACAATCGAATTCTGATAATTATTATTGAGGGATAGTTCAAGCTTTTTTTTAATTTGCCGATATTAAAGAATTAGTTTGGATCAAATCTTGCAAGTTAAATTTAAACCAATTTCCGGTTTTCGATTGAGCTAAAACTTTTTAGACATTTGTGTATAATTGGATATATTAATATGGAATGAAGTTGATCTGATGATGGAACCGGAAGTTTGCTACGGGTCCTTTATGATTAAACGAAGCAAACCCATCGAGTTTTGACGCGTTTTATTTGTAGATACAAGATCTCTCTACTAAGATAATAACAACAAAAGAAGCTAGCTTGTTTTCAAAAGAATAATAATTTAAATATTGTGAATCAATTTTAAGATTGATATCATTTATTGTGCAAACCAATATGATCTTTTTTTTTAAAGTTCATTCCATTTAAAATCGTAAAACTTAGCTTCTTGCTATACAAAAACGCATTAATCATTACTTGCATTTAAATAAGCAAAGAACAATGGCGAACTCCCATATAGCTTTGGACCTGAATTTTTAAAGTCCCGTTCATGAATGAAATAAACGTGTACTTGAAGGTATAAGCTAAACTAACAAAATCCTAATCGTCTTTTTCCTTTAAAAGTTGGGATTAAAAAGATATGGCATAAAATACTTTGTGGGGTTATATATTGTATCTTTGCTTTTTCGTTGAGTGGACGTTAAAATAAATAAAAATGGTATCCAGATTACTCCGTTTAATAAACTAGATTAAAATAATTACATATCTAATAAGATCAAGACACTTATAATAGAAGAAACATTTATAACATATGACTAAACTGTGTGGAGTAGATCCCTTTGCCTTTAATTAAATCATTACAACTGCAAGTGACAAATAAGTGCAATGTACACATTGAACTGTCATTGTTATAACCGAATCGATTGCCATTCGGAATCCAAAAGTAATGCAAATATCAACGTTAGTCGAAGAAACATGCTTCATTGTCAAGTTGAATATTAACTTAAATATCAAAATCCACGAAGGAACACACAACAAACAAACCAAACCAATCATCCGCTATCATTCCACCATCATCATCATACAACATTCATAGATGAAAACAAGCCTGTCAAAATAAAATCAACCAATCGATTATTTAGAACAAAATAATCGATACGTTAACCTTTCAGCGGATCAACTGCAGAACTGGCAATAATCTTCTTAAATCGGTTGTGGTATCTTAGCTTTCAATTATTAAAGTAGTATTTCTACGCAGTATTTCTGCGTAGACCAGAACGTTTCTTAAAAAGATTATCGCGTTTTGTTTTTGCACTATCATTAGACGTTTTGTTATCTTGATAATTATTAGCAGCATTTAATATTTTAGTTTGGTTCCCCGACATTAAAATTCACCATTTTGTAAAAATTAAATCTATTAATCATATATTATTTATTTGTCATATTGCCATCCATGTACGGTTTTGTAAATTATGGGGTCTGATTTCGCCATTCTTCTTTATTTCCTATTTGTTAAACCATATTGTATAACGGGAGTAAAACACAATGTTCGGCCATGAACGACGGGGCTCTTGCCACAAACGGAACTTAGGGGAAACTTTTAATTGAAAAAAACATTGATCGCACCTTAGAACCCACGCCGGCTAGCGATACAGAAGACAACTACAACCTGTCTAACTACTAGCTTTCCCAGGTTAATCAGTATTTAAATTTTGAGTTGTGTTTCTTTAAAGTTTAAATTTATTACACACTCATCTGTTACGATGCACAGATAGTGATTTAACAAAATCGTTGATGCAAATGTATATGTAAAAAAACATCAATAAAAAAAAAAGTTCTTATTGCATTTTATATGTATTGTAGAAAAACACACTGGGTAATCGGTGGTTAAAGAAATGGAACACGAATATTAAAAGTATACCGTTATAAACAGTCGAACGTAACTGTAAAGACATTTTGGTCAATTAAAAGATAAACTCGACCGATACGCACGCAGACAATTGCGATTATGTACAATGGATATCTTTTACATCGGTGCCATCGTGGAAACTTTCAAAGATAAAATCTAAACGGCATTTGCAAACAAGAAGCTTAAATTCGTTTCTTAAAGTCGAAAACAAAGCTTTTGATTACTTGTAGATAAAATTTTAAAAATATTCTACGTAATACAAATTATGGTAAACACAGAATATGTCCAATTAAAATAAATTTTAGATTTACAATACTCCCCTCGCCCGGATGGCAAGCGGTATAATTAAAAAAAAAACAAATAATTGAATGTTCTATCTGTCTCACCTGCTACAGTTTTCAAGTGTAATTAAAAATAAATATATACACATAATTTAATTTCCGTTTAACATTGCTATGTACTTAAATCTCGTATGGGTAATTTGATTTGGTTTAATCAACACTAGCAGTGTTACTAATAAACAAGGTTTAGCGTTGGAGTAAATTTACGCTGAGACTGCACTACGTATGAGACAATATTCATATTAACAAACAGAGACTTGGCAAAGATTAACCTAGCACGAGGTTCTACGGGAGTAATATTTACTCCTAGAAGGTAGTAGGTTTGCTTATTCTCTGTATAATATGAATTTGGACTAAGACTAAATATGCAATTTTAGCGTAAATTTACTGACGCTAAACCTTGTTTATTCAACAAGAATTCAACAAGCCTTTTATCAATTTTACAAATTCTTGGAAAACCATCATTAATGAATGTTTGAGAAATAATACAAGCTTGCACAATATAACAATAAGAAACTGGAAAGTTTATAAAAGCATAATCCAATTTTGGTTACGTATTCAAATAGTAGATGCGACTTAATATAAACTTCTGGTGCGACAATTGTATCAGCGTTTATTTACGAAACAAAGTAATTTACGAGGCTTCCGATAATCTTTGACTGGCTGATAGCGATCGCTTTGAGATTATCGATTGCTTCGGTAATCCCCAATCTACATAGTTGCTGAGGCGTCGCAGTCTCATACCAGAATGAAAAATGCGAAACACTAATGTAGACTTGGGAATCGTTTGAATATTCATCGGATATACATTATGTAGTTTAATGGATATGATAGTCAAAGATGTGGATCGCTGACGAACTTCTAACTAGTTGGCAGACGCGTACTTGGAAATTTTAACATGTTTGGCTATAATACCAAACATGGCATAATTTCAAAGTATGAGTAACGTGGATTTTATTAGACGAATGATAAACTATTCGTTTATAAATATACCAAGAAACAATACTTGATAAAATATTTTATTTGCCCTAAATTATCAACTATTGTTATTTCTTAAGTATTCTAATATTTGTCTTTATGTTTTTAGTTAATTTAATTGGTATCATGCCGTATTAATTAAAATAAAAAAATATATTTGAATGTTCTCTAGAAGTATTTAAAAAATAATTTAAACAAGGCAGAATAGTAAGGATAAGAAAATAATAAATGAGGTTATCAAAAATCTTAAAAAATATATTAATAAATCACATTACTGCCAGTTAGGACGAAAATACTGATTATTTCGAATCACTCTGATTTTAGTCATTTACTACAATTATAACAATTTCATAAGTATACTCCCAAACTTCGTAGCAAACTTAGGAAGCGAGCCGCATCCAGCAGGTCTATACTTTCC